GACCAAGGGAAGGGGTATTCAGAATGCATGCCATCTTGGGGTGGGGGGAGGGGTGAGAAATTTGGAACTCAAAAACTTGTAGAAGTGAATATTGAAAACTAAAAATAAATAAATTTATATTAAAAAAATAAAAAAATAAAAAAATAAATATTGGATCAAAATGTCAAAAAAAAAATGGAAATAACAGTGGCATTACCTACTTCATAGGCTGTTGGGAGGACAGTGGTCTGTTACTAAAGTGCTTCATGAAATGCCAACTATCAGTTCTGCTTTTACTTTAAATAATAAACACTGGAAGAAATTGGGATGTTTCTTATCATGCCCCAAACATTACCTCCAGGGTGTCAGTTTCTTAATTGGTAAAATTAGCACTAGAATACTGAGTGTACAAAAAGCAGTAGCAGCCCTTTGTTGTGGAGAGTGAAATAAAGGATAAGGCATTCACTGGATGCTTGCTATGTGCAAAGCACTGGGGATAGAAGTAGAAAAAACATGCATGCTCTGCTCTCAAGGGGCTCAAGTCTAACAAGGGGAAAGGACACACACACATAGCAGGCTGGGAGTCAGCCACTTGGATCTGAATCCTGCTAGGACTGGTGGGAAATAGATTTCAGCTCCAAGTGAGGGAAAGTGCTTTTGGTGATGAGCACTATTCTAGAATGGGGATGAGTTCCCCATCATTGGAGTTCTTCAGGCAGAGGCTGGATATCAGGTATACTGTAGAGAGAATATCTATTCAGGTATGAGTAGAGTTGGTCTAGGATCCTTTGTTTGTGGGAGGGGAAAATGGTAGGAGAGAGATTAGATGTTCAATTGCAATTCTTAATTGCTCACAGGTTGATTGTTTTTAACTTAAAATTTTTTTTTTCAAATGAGGAGCCAACTCTCCCCTCCTCCCCAATTGTGAAAGCAAGGGGAGAAAAAAAACAAACTTATTACAAAAATGTATAGTCAAGTAAAACAAATTCCCTCAGCGACCATGTGTCCAGACAAAATACATCACAATCTGCCCTCAGAGGTCATCAGCTCAATCTGTCATGAGTCTGAGGGCCTTTCCAAAGCTGAGATTTTATGATTGTAGAATATGCCTATACTAATTATCTGTAAACAGTGGTTTCCTAATTTGAAAAATGGAACCTAAAATACTTGCACTACTTACTTGACAGTGACGTTGTGAAGAAAATGCTAAGACCATAAAAATGTGAACCATGATGATTCTGATACAAAAATAATTCCCTACTCATTCTGGTGAGTTTTTCTAACCCATATTTATTTGTCTACCCCATAACTAACCTGTGAGATTCTAAAGGAGCACTGAGAACACCACCAGATTTAGAATCTGAGGAATTGGTTTCAAAATTTAAGCTGAGCCTCAGTTTCTTTATCTTTAAAATGAGGATGTGGCCTTGGATTGCCAGCTCTGATTCTGGGATTCTGTGACTCCCAAGGGTACGTTTACAGAAGACAAGAATGAGAACTGAATAAGATGGGAAAGTCAGAGGCCCTGGGTTCAAATCACAACTTCCCTATTTAGCACTTGTGTGATTTGGGGTAAGATGTTTAAGCTCAGTTTGATACCTCAAATGAAGGGATGACCTCAGAGATCCCTTTCAGATCTAAAACTGTGATCCTCTGTGCTGGCATAAATAGGTCAGGATCCATATCCCTTACCTCCAGAAGATCACAGTTCAGGAGGAGGTCTTAACTGGGGTCCAGAAACTCATTTAAAAAAAAGATTTTATAACCACCATTTCAATATAATAATCAATATAATGATTTCCTTGACAATCATATGCATTTTATTTTATGTATTTATAAAATTATTCTGAGAAGGATCCATGAAACAAAAAAAGGACCTTTCCATTAGAATATTGGAGGGTCTAGTATTTCTGTAATCCCCTGCTCTGGCTAGAGGTCTACTGGTTCTTCCCCCAGACTTGCCGTTCCCTCTCCAGCTTCTTGTCCTCCCGTGCCTGGAAAGCTTTCCCTACCTCTTGGAATTCCTACCTCCCTTCTAGGGTCCCCTCGGGGCCACCTCCTTCTGGAGGCCTTAGTCTCCCCCTTCTCAATAACTGTAATTATTTTTATACATCCTATATTTACTCGAGTGAACATGCTGCATCTTCCCTAGCAGAATGCAAACGATGCTTGAAGTCAGAGACTTTGTGTTTGTGGCCCAGCATTTAGCATACAATCTGGCACACAGTAGGTGCTTAACAACTCCATTTAAAGTTTCTTTGCTCATAATGACCCTGTGAGAGAAATAAGGCCAAGGAACTCACCCCATTAGCCACAAGGAACCTTAGAAGTGACAGACAAGGGAACTGAGGCTCAATGAACTGTTCACCCCTTTCAGCCACTGGCAGAACCCAATCTCATCTATGCCGCTTAGCTCTGGTTTACTGCAGCCCCTTACTTCCCACCACGGTCTATGACGCTTAGCTCTGGTTTACTGCAGCCCCTTACTTCCCACCACGGCAGCTGGTGAATCCAATCATGGATGGCATGATGTAGCCGGTAGGCCTCCAGGCCTCAGGCTCCTTACTGCAGGGGAATCATTGGTGTTCCTGGACACATTGTTTCAAAAGCTGAAATGAACTGACCATGAGCATGGCCCATGGCCTCCTTCCCCATAACGGCTCTAGGGCTAGAGAAGGGAGAGGGGTTGTCCACTTGTCACTACCCTCTGTGAGTCTAAGTCCAGAGTTTAATAATCGCTTACTAAGCTCCAGCCACCGTCCATAACAGGAAGGTAGCAGGCCTCAGAGACAACACCATCACCCCCAAAATAACTCTGATCACCCCTAAAATAACTTTTCTGTCATTGTCTCACATTGCAGATCTAGGACCCCACCACTCACCCCCATTTCAAAACATTTGCACCCTTCAGTTAGTTTTTTTTAATGATTTATTTCCAAAAGGCTGCTTGGTGAGCTGAATTTAATGTCTTGTTCTAGGCCCTTCTTGTTAACATAGATTCCATTTACACTCATCCTTCTGGCTTCTTTTACATTATTTTTCCACAGCAGGGGGTTAGGAAGTCATTTAAACATATATGTCATTTGTAAACAGGTTCTGTATTTCTTCTATCAAATGGTCACTAAAATATTAAGAGGGTAGGCCTACTTGCTTACATCATGTAGGCAAGTCATTTCATTTTTCTGAGCCTCCATTCTTAAAGTTCCTTCCAGCTCTGAAAGCCTGTGGCCCAGGACTAGTAGTTTTAAATTAAGTAAACTGTCCTGAGATACTCCACAGCACACACTGGAATCCAACCAGAGGGAACAAAATCCACGTAAAACCCACCAAAACAATAAGCACAACATACAGTTTCAACCCTTAATTTTTTCAATTTTAAAACATTTTCTGAAAACCACTCCATCAGCAAGCAGAACAGGCAAAGCTCCAGTTTAAAATAATGAAATATATGAAGAAAGCTCCACATATAAACTGGGTAAAAATCTTCCTGGAAGAGGACCGAAAACCAAAAACATAAAATAAGCATTTCACCTGAAGTTTGTGTAAAAAAGAAAGAAGGAAAGAAAGAAAAAAGTGCTCTTAATGTTGTTCTAGTACTATCACGTTGAAGTGTAGTCTTTAAAAAAGCGGTGGGGGGAGGGAGAGAGGAGAGAGGAAAAAAGAAAAGGAAGGAGAGAAAAGGGAGAGAAGGGAGATAGAAGGCAGTGACAGAGGTAGCGAGTAGGAAAGAGTGAAGAGGAGAAAAGGGAAAAGAAAAGAGGGAGAGAGAACAAGAGGAGAGGAGGGAGAGAAAAGATTAGAAAGGGAGAAAGAACGGAGAGGAGAGAGGAAGGTGAAAACGAAGTAACAGGAGAGGGAGAGAAAGGAGGAAAGGAAAAAGGAGAAAAATAAAGAAAAGAGAGGAAGAGAGAGCAGAGAGAGAAGTGAAAGAAGGGAGTGACGGAGGGAGAGGAAGAAAAGGAAAGAATGAGAAAATAAAGGAGAAAGAGAGAAGAGGAGAGGCAGGGAGAGACTGGGAGAGAAGGGGGGATGGGACAGAGGCACCGAGACACAGAGATAGAAGAGGAGGAGGAGGAGGGGAGGAGGAGGAGCAGAGCCAATCAAAGGAATGAGCCACAAGACAACTTCACCAGGAAATGCGGGTATAGACCGAAGGCAACCTGCACACTGCACACACCAGACGAGTAAGACCAAATGCAGGGCGAGGCCACGGGGAGCTCAGCACCCAGCACCCACCCCCGCCCCCCCGCGAGGGGAGGAGACACGGAACACCACCCACACCCTGGGGAGGCGGGGTGGGGAATACAGAGGGAGAACTGCTTCTGTGCCCCTCCAAAAAGGGGGATGGGTGAAAGAAAACGAGGGGGGGAGAGGAGGGGTGACCCGCCTCTTTTTCCTCTCTAAAAGGGGGTGTGTGGCGGGGAACAGGTCTGCAGGAGGAGCAGAGAGGAGAGGAGGCCCCTCTCAAAAAGCTTTCCCCACCCCCAAATCGAAGGTGCAGAACAACCCCGTCCCCCCACCACACCCCCTTCGACGACCCCGTCCCCCCACCACTGAGAGGGACCTCCGCCCCAAAAAAGGAAAGGCGGACCCCGCTTCCATCCTGGCCTCCGAGGCCCATGTTAGGAGCCCCGAGCCCCGCAGCAGCTCGGGGGGGGGGAAGTGCGCCCCGACTCCCGCTTCCGAGGAGGGGGTCTCGCGAACGCGCCACCCCTCCCCCACAGGCAGAGTCGGCGGCGCGAGCCCCTGCCCCTCCCCCGCTCCCGAGTGCCCCTCCCCCAGCTGCAGACGCCTGCCTTCGTCAAGACCCTCCGCCTCCACCTCCGCCGCCGCCGGCTACCGCACAGCTTCATGGGGGCTGGAGTCTCCTGGCGGGCCTTTGTGCGCCGATTCCACGCGACCCGGAACTACGCTTCCCAGAGGCCTTCGCGGCCTCTTTTTCACCCCTCCCCCCGTCCCCGGTCGCTCCACCGCCCCCGAGACTACATTTCCCGACAGGTCTAGCGACGCTCCCGCCCGCCCTCCCGAGACACGAGCCGAACTGGGCGTCAGGTCGGGAGCCGGTCCGGTTCCCGCTCCCCGCTCTCCGCCGCCGCCGCCGCTTCTCTCCCGCAGCGCCCCTGTCCGCCGAGCCGCGCCGAACCTGAGCCTCAGCTGGGGCTGCATCGTCCCCCTCGCTGGCCCAGAGAGCCCACCCAACGGTGCCGGGCGCCGGCAGCCGAGGGCGGGACCCCCGATCCCCCCCCAGCCCTACCCCGGAGCCCCCGGGCCCAAGCCAGAGCCCCCCCGCCACCGCCGCTGCGCCGAGGACCTTCGCCGCCCCCGGCCCCAGAGGAACATGGACGCCGACTCGTGCGCCTCCGCCTTCCACCCCGAGGTGAGTGCAGTGGCCGCTGGGTGCAATGGGCCCCCGGCCCTCCCGGCCGGTGTCCCCTTGGGGCCGCGTCCCCTTCCTTCGGCCTTTCCCCTCAGCTTGGCCCCCTTGACCCGCACCCCCGCCCCGGGGGGCCTCCCTGCGGCTCTCTTCCCCAGCTCGGCCCTCCGCGTCCCCACCCCCTCCCTCTTTTCTTCCCCTGCTCGGTGCCCTCCGCCCCCTTTTGGGACTCGGCATCTCTCCTGGGGGGTATCGGTCCTCTACCATTCCTGCCTCCCCCAATTCTCCCCCCCCCGCGACCGCCTCCCGTGCTGGTCCCCACCCGAGAGCTCCCCTTGGAGTGTGGATCCACCCCCCTCCCCCACCCCCGGAGTGGATCGCCTCTTTCCATCGCGTCCCCGCCCCGCACTCCGGAGGCTCCTGCGCCGCCTCCCACTCGTGGGCCCCCCACCCACTCCTAGGGCTAGATCCCCTACTGTCTCTCGAGCCCCCCACCGTGAGGTATCGATTCCCTTCTGCCTCTCGAGCCCCGCTCGATCGCTTCTAGCCTCTTGAGCCGCTCCCCTCTCCGCTCGATCCCCTCCCGCTTCTCGTGGCGTCCCCTCCCCCTGGTTCGATCCCCTCCTGCTTCTCGTGGCCCCTTCCCTCCCCCTCGTGGTCCTCTCTCCGCCCCCCCATCCCGTCTTGCCTCTCGTGGCCCCCTCCCTTCTCCGCTCGATCTCCTCCTGCCTCTCGTGGCGACTCTCCCCCCCCATCCCCTCTTGCCTTTCGTGGCCCTTTCCTGAAGGGGGGAGGGGGCCTCGATCCCCTCCCGCTACTCTCAGCCGCCCCCCAACTCGTGGGATTGGATCTCTTTTTGCCTCTCGACTCCCCTCCCCCCATTCGGGGAGGTTCGATCACCTGCGTTCTCCACCCCCCCCCCCGCCCCAGCCTCAGCACCCTCTTGCCTCTGGGGCTCCATCTCCTCCTCTCCTCTCCTCCCCTCCCCGGACTCGATCCCTTTTCTCTCCCGCCCTCTCTCCCGCCCGCTGGGTTCTCGGATCTCTCCAGCGTCTAGCCTCCCCCACCTTTAGCGGGTTTGGTCCCTCCAAACTACCCCCTTCCCCAGCCCCCTTCTCCCCAGTCCCGGGAATCCGTCTTCCCCCCACCCTGTAGTCGCTGTACCCCCTCCCCCAGCTCCCCGCCCCTCTGTCCCCGGGGGCGGGTCCCGGGATCCCTGGGCCAGCCGGGGTGGTGGGGGAGGGGAACGAGGCCGCGCTGGGATCGCCCCTTTTGGGCTGCTTGGCGCACCGCTTCAGTGGCCCCTTCTCCCGCAAAGAAGCTCCTTTACTCCCTGCGCTTACCCTAGCTGGTGGTTGAAAGCATAGCTGCCCAGAGTCAGTCAGCCCAGCCTGGAGGCTCTTTTCCTCCTTCTCCTGGCTCCCCCCCCTTCCTTTTCCCAAGCTTTGGCTTGCGGGGATGGGGGGGAGGGGTTGCGAAAAGGAGAGAAATTTGCCCAGGTCAAGGTTGGGGAGCGTAGGTAGCAGGCGATTTTTGCATCTTCTTTTGGGGAAGCAGACAGAGTTAGGTAGACTGGGGAAATCCTGCGGAGGGGCGACTTAAGCCAGCTCAGAGGAGACCTTAAGCAGATGCAGGAGAGCCTGGCCTGGACCACAGGACTCTTCTCCAGCCAGTTTCTTTGGGGGAACCCCCTTCTGCTGGGAAGAGCAGGGATTCAGCTTAACCTTTGCCTGAGTTCTTTGGGCTCTGCACTTCTCACTTTTCCTTGGTTATTGACCTACTTTCTTACATTTTACCCCGACTGTGTTTTTGCATTGCCTTAAAGTTCTGAGGGCAGGGCCCAGGGTAATTTTTCTAGAGGCTTTTGGAGGTGGTTGGTGCAGGCAACCTCAGTCCCTCTAAAGGTGATGGGCTGGGCTGCCCCAATGGTTAGAAATGCCTGAAAACTGAAGGATTGGATGGTAGTTCTGAAAGAAAGCAATACATAACATAAATTTTGAGGCTTGTAGGGAAACCTTCCGAATGCCCATGCTACTGTGTTCTGCTGCTTTCACTGGTAGCTTTGTGTCCTGGGGAGGAGGACTTCATGCAGGATAAGAGATGGGCCCAGTAGCTGAAGCAGCTGCATTTCACCCCAAAATCAATTGCCCTTGAGGGCTGCTCTGGCTTTTTGCACTGGAAGAGCAATTGACCCCCTTGCAGAATCAGAGGGATGTGAGAAGGATGGCCAGGGCATACCTCTCGGGGCACTTTATAGCCTGAATAAGCCCTTTTTCATGCAGGTTTTGCCTGGTACAAAATAAGCTCCTTTTTCAAGGTGGGAGAAGGTTGGGCCAACACCATAATCATTGAGGGGTGATTGTTTTATGCTCACACGTCTACTACACTCACTTAAAATGTGCAAGGAGATTAGGAGAAGTTGGGATAACTCTGGGAAGTGTCTCCAAAACAAGAGAATAAGAAAATTGCCATTTTTTAGTCCCTGAAGAGCTATGTATTAGCTGCTGCAGCAGAGAGTGAGAGAAAGGGTTTAAGGTGGAAAATGGCCAAATCAGGGGTGTAAGCCCAATTTTAAATGCTCTAGGTAGTGTTGCAAACAGCAAGTGCTATAATATATCTTGACTGGTTTCCTAGTATATTGGAGAAGCTGATACCCTTTTGATTGGATCTTTTTATCTGAAAACACTATATTCCATAGTCCTAGACTTGGTTTCTCCTGACTCTATGAAGGATTTCAGAATAAAACAGTAACTGTTCTATGTGTCTGTGTATAAAGTGATATCTTTATGCTCATATATGTGTATTTGATTATCTATATGTAATATCTCTAAGGTGTACAGTGTACTTTATATTATCATTTGATCTTTACAGTTTGATATAAGCTAGGAATAGGGACCAAATAGCACTTAATACAGTGCTTGGCATAGAGTAGGTGCTTAGTAAAGATTGATTGATTTCTTCCTGTTAGGGAACTCTCAGGTGAGGAAACTCCTCTACCAATCCAGGACAGCACCTGCTCAGCATATCAGTGTCTTAGAGGGTGTGGAGAGATGAAGTGACCTGTCCAGGGTCATGTAGTCAGTGTGTGTCGAGGCAGGGCTTGAATCCAGGTAACTTCCTCTCCACTAAGCATTGTGATCTAAATACTGATTATTATTCCCATTTTGTAGATGAGGAATCAGAGGCGGAAGGGTTAATTGACAAAATAGTAAAAGATTGCCTGCTTGGAAATCAAGGCTTTTCTCCAACTCTCTGCTGATTGGAGGGGTTGGTTGCTGCTATTCCAAATTCCAAGTTTTCAGTTTCTAAATGTGCTTCCTTCTTATCTTAACAGGAATACTCCCCCAGTTACAAGAGGCGGCGAACTGTGGAGGATTTCAACAAGTTTTGTACCTTTGTCTTGGCATATGCTGGCTACATCCCTTATCCAGCAGAGGTAATCCCCAGCCCTTTCTTTTACAGCAAAAGTCTCCATAAAACTTCAGTTATGCTTTTGAGCCATTTGAGAAAAGTTTCCTTGTTTTCCTGTTTTAAGTGCCTCATGAAGCATCCTAGCCTTTAAAGAGTTGGAAGTTCAAGCACCCTGGACCCAAATACCTGAAGAAGTTCTTTTATAAAGCAAGACTTTAAAGGATTTCAGGACATAATGATAATGTTTAATATGTACATATGTATGTACATATGCATGTAATACTTTATGTTTCTAGGAACTTTTGAATATGGCAAAGTCAATCACAGTATCATACATTTAGAGCCAGGAGGCACCTTGTGGGTTATCTGGTCCAGCCTCATTTAACAGAGGTAGAAATTTCTGAGGCCCAGACATGTGAGCAAAATATCTACTCTGCCACCTAGCATGTCAGTCAATATAAATAGCTCCGGTTCTGACAAATTTCAGGATGTCTCCAGTTCTCTCAGGGGCTGTCAGGAAAGTCTCAAAGCAGAATTAATTAAAATTATCTTTAATTCAAAAAATGGTTTAACATGTATTAGATGAAAACAAGATAAGGAGAACTGGGTGCCTTAAAAATCAAACAGTCAGTCTTTGGGGAATCCATTTTAAGACAGAAAACTTTGATGAGCTCTGATGTCCCATAGTAGCTGTGTGGATGTGGCACAGACTGCCTCAGGGATGGGTCCTCTCCCCAGAGACCTTAAGGCCAAGCCCACAGGGCCACTTGTTGAGCATGTGTTGAGAAGAATCCTGCTTGTGATTGGGTTGGACCAGAGAGCTGCAGAGGGCCCTTTTATGTCTGAGATAGTAATAAGGGTCCTAACTCTGGTACACTTAAGGAGCTATGTGATGGCTTATTTGGTTCAGAAATTCGGGGGCATTTCCTGACTTTGAAGAGAAACGGGTCCTTAGGGGAGAGTCATCCATTTCAATGGCCATGCACCTGGGGTCACAGGACCTGTTAAGGTGTTCACCCTGCTCAGTGAGGCCTTGTTTCTTTTCTTTCAGGAGCCTCCTTTGAGGAGCAGCCCCAGCCCTGCCAACAGCACAGCCGGGACCATCGACAGTGACAGCTGGGATGCCAGCTTTGCTGACCTGCCCTCATCCGTGTCCCTGCCTGTTGCAGACCGGTGCTTTGGCCACTTGCAGCCCTCCCTTCTGCAGCGAGCCAAGCCCAGCAACTTCCTCATGGACAGAAAGAAGACAGACAAGCTGAAGAAGAAGAAGAAGCGTAAGCGGAGGGATGCGGACGTGCCAATGGAAGAGGAGTACATGGGGGGCTTGCTGAAGCTGGAGCCGGCCGACACTTTTGCCCAGAGAACAGCCAGCCCTGATCTGCAGGACATCCCCACAGCCAGCAGCGACCCGTGCTCGGGCTGGGATTCTGACACCCGCTCTAGCGGCTCCTGTGCGGCAGCCACCCCCGAGGAGGTCAAGGAGATTCAGACAGAAGGCAAACGGACTGTCATACGGCAGGGCAAACAGGTGGTGTTCCGGGACGAAGATAGCACTGGGAATGATGAGGACATCATGGTGGACTCTGGTAGGTGCCAGGCTGAAAGGGTAGAGAGCACCAGAGCTTGTGTCAGAAAGACCCCAGTTCAAATCCTTCTTCAGACACTCATATGAGCTGTGGGACCCTGGGGGAGTCACGTCACTGCTGACTGCCTCAGTTTCCTCACGTGTAAAGTGGGGGCCCATAAGAGCCCCACCCCTCATGCTCTGCCATGATGGTACAACCCTCCAGGGTTGTTGTAGGATAAAATGAAAGAACATAGTAAAATTTGTGGTGAACCTTCACCTTAAAACACCATTTAAATGTTATCTATTATTAATGATGGGGCCTAACGTGAGTAAAGACCTTGAGGAAAAAGAATGAACCAAGCAAGAAGCAAGACTTGGTGAGTGAGAATTGGAGAGCTTTCGTCTGAAATATTAAAAAAAAAAGAATGCAGCTAATGGGGAAAACAAAATGAACCTCAGATTTCGGAACAGCCAGGATGGTGTCATGTCCTGCTCTGCCCCGTCTAAGCTGAGGGAAGTTGTCTGGGCCCTTCGAAGGGGCCAATTTCAGATCGGTTAGCAAAGGAAGCAGGAATGTTTTCATTCTCTCTGCCTCCACATCCTTATTTACCAATTTCTGTTTTACCTAGATGATGATTCCTGGGATCTCGTCACCTGTTTCTGCATGAAACCTTTTGCTGGGCGACCGATGATTGAATGTAATGAGTGCCACACCTGGATCCACCTGTCCTGTGCAAAAATCCGGAAATCCAATGTTCCCGAAGTGTTTGTTTGCCAAAAGTGCCGGGACTCCAAGTTTGACATCCGCCGCTCCAACCGTTCCCGAATGGGTTCCCGGAAGCTCTTTCTGGACTGACTGGGGTGGGGCATGACTTCAAAGGAAGATTAGAAGGGCCGGTGGGCGTTCTTTGAGGTCACTTTTTCCGAATCTGAGCACAGAACTGTTAGCGCGTGGTGCGCCATCCTTGCCCTTCTGACATCAAGGTGCCTAAGCGGAAGGACAGGTTGTCCAAGGTACATAAAAACTGTACATAGTTGGTGATGACGTAGAATCTTTGTTGGCCAAAGCTGCTGCTGGGGCCCCATGCTCCGCAGCCAGAGCAGACTCAGCACCCCGGTGTTGAGCTCAAAATGAGGGTATGTGATGGTTGTGAGTCTTTTCCCCCACTTTGGACTGCTGAGGTGGGCCTGGGGGTGAGGGTGGGGACGGGGACAGTCCTCCCCAGAGGGAGGAAGACATCTCTGGTTTCCAAGGATTCAGTAAGTGAACAGCCATATGTGTTAAGTTTCCCGAGTATAAGTCTTTACCGTAAGTGTCTGTATAGGTAGCCTAACATTGCTCTTTCCTTAGCAAACAGTTCCCTAGCCTGCTGCCTCTGCCTGAGAGGGGGGCATCTGAGGTCAGTTGCAAGTGGCTTCCTCTGGTTTGGCTATGGGGAGAGTTGGGGCCAGTGATTCTCCCTCTAGTGCTCTCCTGGTGTATTTAGAACAATCACACAGGGCTGCTTCTGTTGGAGCAGAGCCAGGATGGTCTCTTAGATGAAGGGGGCCTGAGTCCTTGATTCAAGTTCCCATTTTGCACGATGTAAAATTTTTTTCCCTTCTTCACTCTATTTTCTTTTTTTTTTTTTCCTTTTTGCACGATCCAGCCAAACTGAGTTTGGCAGATTTCCTGCCTGTTCCCCCCCTTGTCTTGGGGACATGTTGGGATGCAGAGTGGAGGTGCTCTCTTCAGAGTGAGTGGGAGCGGGTTGATTCCTTCCTCGTTTCTTCCCCCACAGAGTACTGACCCTGTACCATGATGTAGGCAGTTATCACTGGAGATTAGTAGTGGTCTTATTTAAATGAGAAATGTCCTGAGCAAAGCCAGGGATCCATGTTTTCCTAAGGCAGGTGGAGGCATCCCAGAGCAAGGGTAGAACTTAAAAGCCCTTGCTTTCTACAGTGAGTGTTGTCTGAATACGGGCACTCAGGTGTTTTGTGGCATTTGTGCAAGGTCCTGTTAACCGATCCCCAGCCTCAATAGCTTTAAAACTCCTGATGTGGTCCACAGCAGGAAGACCCTGATTGTGTTTGGCTATGGGAAGTCTAGGGGATTTTGAGGTGTGTGTGACCCCAGCTGAGCCTCTGCTCCAGGGCCATCCCCACTGCAGAACCACTGGCTGATTCTGCTACTTGGTTAACAAGAGAAGGACCTGAGCTTTTTTCTCTTTAATGACTAAGTTGACAAATAACTGTATGTAGCCGCTGTTCAAGGCCTTGTTTTAAAAAAATAAAATAAAAAACCCATCCCTTGTAAATGAATGAATGAATGAATGTTGTTCTTCAGAAAGTGTGGGAAGGATAAGTGGGATTGAAGTTAGAAGTTTTATTTCCCAAAAAAAAAAAAGGGCTCAGCCAACCTCCCCCACAGAGGTGCTTACGGGCTTACATAGTGGCTTTCTTTTTTTTTAAATGGTAGGGGCATGAGCTCTCTCAAGGAAGAGCTATCCTATTTTGTTGAATACAAGCCCCTTTTTAGGTCTGGTGTCTTTCACACCCTTGCCTAGCTGGCTTTTTCTTTTCTAAGTTCGTTTACTATTTGAGCAGAAAAAAGAAGAAATTGAGTTTCTGAAACCTGGTCCAACATGAAGAATCCCAAGGGCGAAGTTAAATCATAGGTTACAGAATTTTAAAAGTGCATTTTGAAACCGCCCAGCTTCTATGAGGGCACAGCCTGTACCATATGCTCAAGAGGCATTCGCCAAAGATCTGCCCCCTTCAACCACCTGTCTAGTTTCTGCACCAAGAGAAATAACCAAAGTTTCAAAATCCTCTTTTTGTTTGTTTGACATTTTTATTCCACAAAGTGTTAAGGAGTGCTCGAAAGCCAACCTCGGGCAGCTGAAGTTGGGGTCCCTAGGCAGAGATCCACGGCCATCGGTGGTGTGAGGACTGGGCTTCATGGGGGTTTCTTGTCTGGCCTGCGATGTTCATCTCATGATTTTTGTCAAATGGGTTCCCAGTCTGTTCCCTTGACAGACCTATCCCAGTGGGTGGTGTCTGAAAAGCCAGGCAAGTGTGTTTCTGTGTTAGATTGAGCTGGGGCAGCTGCAGTCGGCTTATTTTATGCAAATTAGGTGTGTCCCATCCAGGGGCTCCTGGCAGGTGGCCGCTGGAGTTGGGGGGAAGGGAAAGGATGTCTCCAGAAGGTAGGGGTCCCTCTTGGGCTTTGGCCAGGCCAGACACTTAACATCGTTTACATGGTTCTGTGTAATTATAAAGTTTATGTGTATAGAGAAGCTGTTTCTGTGAAACTGTATATTTTGTAAATAAATATATTGATACTTTGAAGTTCATGTTACGTCTCAGGTGTGTTTCCTACCAAAGAAAAAGTTTGCAGTTGCGTTCACGATTTCAGGATGATGAAATACTCCCCATACTTGATGATCTATCGCCTACAGCTGTGCCACGGTGCAGTCCCCCACCCTCCTCTTCAGGGCCCAACGTAGGTGCTACCTCCTCTGGGATGGCTTTACTGATCCGACTCCAGTGCTTCCTCCTTCCCCCAAAATGTCTGCATTTATTTTGGCTGGAAAGGAACGTGAGAACACATCCGAGCTCAACTATTCCAATTTACAGGCATGGAAAGAAGTGAAATGACTTGGCCACAGTTACAAAACTGGTCTTCCTAACCCCAAGGTCTTCACTCTGTCCTAGAACTCATGGGGTCCATGAACTTGTATAGGAAAACAATCACATCTTTATTTTCACTAACTACTAAATGAAATTTAACATTTCTTTAAATTATTTTAAAACCTTATTCGGATCAGATTCTACCAGACAGGTCCATAACATACTAAAAAAGTTAAGAACTTCTGATCTAGAATGTAATTATTTGTGTACAAATTTCCTCCAGTAGACTGTAAGCTTTGTAGCACAGTGCCTGGGACAGAGTAAACATTTAAATCCCCACTACTGAATGAGAAACTGAACCCTGGCTTCATTTTAGATAGGATGCAAAGTACCCACGGCACTCTTGCAATTAAATTCTTAGAAACAAACCCCAAGAGGAGTGGATGGTTTTCAGGTGTTTTTCCTTCCTGTTACCGTAACAATCTCTAGTCAATCCAGCCTTCCTAAAGTCTTCCTCTGATAACCTTGTGTGGAGATGACCTTGGGTTCTTGGAGGCATTTGCCCAAAGACCATAAGCCAAGGGGGCCCTCTAGGTCCTCAAGTGCAGCCCTTATACTAAACCCAAACTTGAGAGACTTAGAGGTTTCCCACCCCTGCCAAGCCGGAAGGGCTTTGATTAAGGTTCTGGCAACATAACTGCTTTATGAGGACCAGCCTAGACAAGTATAGAAAAGCTAAGCACCACCACCATCATCATCTCCAGACTGGTCCACTTGGCGACCCATGAGACAAAGAAATACAAAGATTACGAAGTTCTGTTTGGCTCCTTCTGTACTGATGAGTCTGAGGTCAGTACTGGGAAGGGGAGAGATTGTGGCCTCTTCAGGTGACACAGGTGAAGGAGGACGCCTCTGAGCAGAGTGAGATGAGGAACAGAAGGTGGGAGCTCCGCAAATGGCCCCTAGTTTTTTTTTTTTCAGTGAACTATGAGGCTCTAGACTCTCAGCTGAGGGTGTTGGGCAGGGGGAACTGCAGGAGTTTTGAGGAGGGCTGAAAAGATGTGGAAAAGCCACTGAGGGTGAATCATCGAGGGACTGCTGTGCCACAGTGAGCGCCCAATTCAGTTTATGGAAGGTAAACTTGAAGCAGACCCATTCAACACGGTTTCATGAATTTTGTTCTAGTTTTGACCTATAAAATGTGAGTAGAAGGATTGGTGATTAAAGGGGAAGAGGGCAGGGTAGAGTTGAACTGGTTCACCAAGGGGTCAAGACTGGGCAGGGAAAGGCAGTGTAGCCAGCACAGGCGTGATGGCCTGGGAAAGAACTGAGGGGTGGGGGGTCATGGTGGGTTGTTGTGCAGATGGAGGGGTGGACTCACAACAGATTGATAGAGATAAAGGAATTTCAGAGTTGGTGAACATTTGTGGGTGATGGCGAGATCAAAGCTATGACCTTCTCTGTGGAGCTGTGGTAGGGCAGAGAAGTGGGCAAATGAGTAAACAGGAATTGGCAGGTTAGGGTGATAGGAATATCAACAGATATGATGAAATACCCTAGCATGAAGACAGGAGGGAAAAGATTGTGAACTAGTCCCTGACCTTATTGAGGAAGGGAGGAGTGTCCAGGAGGTCTGTAGACAACAGCTTCTAGAATCTTCATGGGGGAGGGGAGCGTTGATGGGGATTGAGTGACTCTCAAAGGAGGAGAGGTTACTTGAGGCATGGTGGGAGAGGGAGAGACTCAAAGTGGCCATGGGGAACAAGGAATAATCCAGCTGCCCTACCACGATCAGTGAGTTGGGGGAAAGAGCTAATGGGCAGCTAGCACTGGAAAGGGTGGTCTGGGAAAGAGGGAGGGATGGGGAGTGAGGAAGGTAGAGAGGCACCTAGACAGAAAACAAGTTTGTTACTACAGGAGCCCAGCAGAACGGGTGGGTAGCTTAGAGTGGGATTTGAAGGGGAGGGGCGATTGGGTTTAGGGAATAAGGGGGCAGTCAGGGGATAGAGGGCAGGGTTTGTATCATGGTAACTGGGGGGCTCACTGGGATGGGGTGGAAGTATGTTAATTATTGAGGAATAAGTTTAGGGAAGTTACCAGTGTCCACAGGACTCTCTCTATGTGTGTGGCTGGAAAGGGGGTGCAGGTGAGAGGCCTGTAGGCAAGGCCAGGCTTGTGGAGGGGGGAGGTGGGGATTTTGATGGGAAGCACTGGTACAGAAGGCAAAGAACGTTAGTAAGGATTAGCTTTTTGAAGACTATTTCAATGAATCGCCCAGCTGTCCTCCTACCATGGACTGAAGGCTTGGGCTGGAGGATTTCTCCCCATCTCAACTGGCAGACCACCCTGTCATTTTAAAAGCTTCCCCAGACCAACAAAAGAAGGGCTGTGTGGCTAATGGGCGTGCTAGGAATTGAGCCCATCCTAGTCGGGACAGGAATGCGCTCTCCTGGGGAAGAATGGTACAGCTGCTGCCCGAGGCCAAGAGCCTTAGCTGGCTGACCTTCCCCGCCCCCTTACTAGAGGGTCAATCAAGTTCAGCTATGCAATTCAACAAAGAATTACTAAGTACCTACTGTCAATCAATAAGCAGCATTTATAAAGGGCCTTTTGCTCCGGGCAAGGCGATATACAAAGATAAAAAGAAACATTCCCTGCCCTCAAGGAGCTTACTTTCATGATAGGGGACAAATGTAAATATTTACAAAATGTATCCAGGTAATTGGGTGGGTGGGGAGCAGTCAGGTTGATGGGGAAAGGCTTCTTGAGGAAGGTTGATTGACAATGGCCCTGGGGGAATCTAACAACGGACTAATACTTTTAAATTTAATGAATACTTTTAAAAGTCACTCATTACCTGTCAAAGCAAGCCCTAGTTCACTTGTCCAGGAGCCTGGTGGGAAACTATTTCCTTTCCTTGGGATGGACCCTAAAGATTAGAAAACCGGAGGGAACAGAGTGCAAGCTCCTTGAGGGCAGGGACTGACTTTAGGACTTTTTGTTTGTTTGTTTTTGTATCTCCAGGACCTATCACAGTGTGTTACTCATTTTAGGTATTTAATAAATGGTCCTTGGATTTATTATGATTGTGGCCCTGAACTAAGAAGCTTCCAAATTCCTTTAGCCAAAGGATTGAGGCAGCTTTGACCCTCTCTTGTATTTGAATTAAAAATCTCATTTAACAGGTGGTATCATGTTCCCTTCTTCCCCAAGAAAGCGGATCAAAGCTTACTTCTGTAAACTTATGAGGCAGCTAGGAGGCACAGTGGATAGAGCTTTAGATCTGGAAGACTCCAACCCAGACTCAGACACTAGCTGTATGACCTTGGACAAGTCACTTAACCTCTGCCCCTCAGTTTCCTCAACTGTAAAATGGGGATAATGGTACCTATCTCACAATGTTGTTGTGACAATCAAAGGAGATAACTTAATTTGCCAAATGCTAAGCATAGTGCCCGAGGCACAGCAGGTATGTAATAAATGCTTGTTTTGTCAGTCTCCCATTATGAGGGAGGAAACTGAGGCCAGCAGAGGTTAAGTCACTAGCTCGAGGTCACACCTAGTCAGGATCTGACTCTGGGTCCTGGGATTCCAAATCTAGTACTATCATCAATCAACTGTTAAACATTTGTTAAGCACCTACTAGGTGCTCATCACTGGAGATACTGGAAGCAAAAGACAGGCAGTGAGGGTTAGGGTTGCCTAATGGAGGAGACAACAAGCAAACCCGTATGTACAAACAAGCACTATGCAGGATAAATGGGAAATAATTAGCAGGGGTGAGACACTAGAATTAGGAAGGGTTGAGGATGAGATTTTAGTTGGGATTGAAAGGAAATCTGGGAAGCCAGTGGTCAAGATGAGAAGGGTGTGCACTCCAGGCCTTGGGAACAGCTGGAGAAAATGCCTGGAGTCCAGAGATGGAGTGTTTTGTTTGTGGAACTGCCAGGAGGCCAGAGTCACTGGATCAAAGAATACCTATTGGAGGGTAAGGTGTAAGAAGGCTGGAAAAGTAGGAGGGGTTATGAAGGGCTTTGAATGCCAAACAGAGTATTTTCTTTTTGCTCCTGGAGGTGATAGGGAGCCACTGGAGTTTAGTAGGGGGATGACATGGTTGGGATCCACCTTTTCGTGGCCTCATGGGTGATGGACTGGAGTGGGGAGAGACTTGAGGCAGGAAGACCACCATATGCAGCTAATGCAATAATCCATATGTGAGGTGACCAGGGTCTGCATCAGGATGGTGGAAAGTGTCAGGAGCAAAGGGGACATAGTGAAAAGATGCAGCAAAGGTGAAATTGAGGGGCGATGGAGGCAAGAGATAGTGAGGAATCCAGGCTGACTCCCAGGTTGGGAGACCCAGGGACTGGGAGGATGCATTGCCCTCTTCAGTAACAGAGAAGTTAGGAGGGGTAGGGAGGGCTGAAGAGGAAAGCTAATGAGTTCTGCTTTGGAGGCAATGAATTTAAGACGTCCACTGGACATCCAGTTCAAGATGCCTGGACTGGAGATGCAGAAAGACTGGGGCAGGAAAGGTAGAGTTGGGAACTGTCCACATAGAGATGGTAATTAAATTCACTGGAGCTGATGAGATCAACAGGTGAAGGAGTATAGAGGGAGAAGAGAAGAGGGCCCAGGACACAGCCCTATGGGGCCTTAGAGGACATGATCTGGAGATGGGGCACAGCAAAGGAGACATAGGGAGCAGGCAGATAGGTGGCAGGAGAGAAGGATGTCCTGAAAACCTAGAGAGAAGAGAGTTAAGTATCAAGGAGAAGAGAGTGCTCAGCAGTGCTAAATGTTGCAGGAAGTTCTAGAGGAATGAGGACAGAAGAAAGGTCACTGGATTTGGTCACTATTTCCAGTGCATCCTACTGCAGAAAAGAAAAGGCCAGGCAGGTGCCGAGTCTGGCTCCTCTTCCGTTCAAGGCTAAGTAGTCTGGTCCCCATGTCTCCTTTTTCAGCCTTTGCTGCTACCCCAGGTCCTCCCATCTCTTCTGCCTCTATCCTCTAGCCTTTACTACTTTATGCAGCTCTAAGTACATCCTACCATCTTTCAGGAAAGCTGCTTATTGTAAAAGCTCGTGGAGTCGATTCAGAGGTGTAAGGGGCCTTGTAGACCCCTGAAGTCAATCTTCTCACGTTCAGGCAGGGGAAACAGGGACCCAGAGAGAAGCCCCTTGCTCAAAGCATCTCCCAGGTCATAAGCAGCTGAGATGGGGCTTGAACTCAGCGCTTCGGACTCGAATCCAGGGTTCCTTCTAGGGAACCACAAAGAAAACGTTACTGGATGCAAGTGTTATTGGTTTGCAAATACTAAAAAAGCACTAGGTGCTTGCAAACAGGTGAGTCTGCATTCTGGTAGGTCTGAGGGCGGGAATTAGCATTTGCTTAAAGAGATCCGGAGAAGGGGTAGGTGAGAAGAGAGGGGGAGGAAAAGAGTAAGAAAAGGAGGAGGGGGGAAGAGAAGGAGGGAGGAGGGAGAGAAGGAAGACGGGAGAGGAATGAGAGGAGGAGGAAGTGAAGGAGGAGATGAGGAAAATGAGGAAGGGGAGGGGAAGGAGGAGGAGGCTGATTTCCCCACAGAAAGAGACTAGGGACAGGGAAGGAGGGACACTGAAGGCCAAGCAAAGGGGGACCGTGGCCCAGACCTTTCCCGAACTCGGGACCCTCCCCCCAGGTGCAGTGCTCTGGGTCAGTGCAGGGAGGCCGAGGAGGGCAGCCCGGCCCGAGCAGGGTCCCGCCGCCGCCCCGCCCCCAGCTAGAGCGCCGGCAGCGATCGCCCCAGGGCTCCCTCCCACCCCCAGAGGCTGCGCGCTCTCCCTCTTTCCCCCTCCCCCACTGAGGTGGCGCGCTCCCCGCCCCCCACCGTCCCCGCTGTCGCCATCTTTGTTGAGGGCAGCCGGCAGCCGTGGGAGGGAAGAGGCGGCGGCGGCAGGAGATGCCCAAGTCGTGCGCGGCCCGGCAGTGCTGCAACCGCTACAGCAGCCGCAGGAAGCAGCTCACCTTCCACCGGTGAGGCGGGAGCGGAGCGGGGTGCGGGGGAGGGGGCGGGAGTCTCGGACAGCCCTCAGACAGACCCTTCTCGGGAGCCGGGCCGGGCCGACCTGGCAGACGCACGCGCACATACGAACACATACCCCCCCCCCGACACAGAGGCGTCCGGCCACATACACGCATGCGCGAATTTGAACTTGCGGCCTCCCGGGGGCGCGTGCCCGCCCGGGCGTTTTCTCCCCGCCTGAGGCCCCGCCCACCAAGCGGCTAAAGCCGGGGGCGGGGCAGGGGGCGGGGCCGAGCCTCTGTCAGTTTCGGGTCTGGGGCGGGCTGGCTGTCTCTGGTCTGTCTCTCTGCGCTGTCTCTGTCTCTGTCTCTCTGGGTCTGTCCGTCAATTTCTCTTTTTCTGTTCCTTGCAGTCAGCCAGGCTCACAACCTCACAGTAATTCTCAGACTCTTCTTTTCTTGCTTCCTCTCATATTCATTCAGCTGCCAAATCTTGTTGATTTTACCTCCATAACATCTTTTTTAAAATAATTTTTAATCTTGTTTTTTACAACACCAGCTTTTCCTTCTGTATCTTTTCTTTCTCCTAGAAAACCACTGTAACCTAGAATTTATTTTTAAAAGGAAGAGGAAAAAATTCAGCAAAATTGAATGATACAAAAAAAAAATCTTTTATAAGCAATGTTCCAGACCTGTAGACCTGATCTCTGCAAACGAGGGAGAATGACAGAGATGGTTTTTTTTTTTGATACCTCTTCTTTAGCTCCAAGCTTGTTCTTTGTGTAATTTCATAATATTCAATTTTGATTGTTTCCTGGTGGTGGTAAATTCCATTTACAAATGTCCTAGTCTTTGTGTATGTTGTTTTCTTGCCTCTGCTTATGTACCCATAAGTCTTTGGGTGCTTCTCTATATTCCAGACATTCATCATTTCTTACAGCACAGTTACATTCCATTACATCCATATTCCTCAGTGTATTTAGCCATTCCCTAGTTGTTGGGCATCTAGCTTATTTCCAATTCTTTGCTACCACTAAAAGGGCTGCTATAAATATTTTGGTGTGTGTGGGATTGAATCTCTGGGTTAAAGGGTATGGACATTGTAGTTACTTTGTATAATTCCAGATTACTTTCTACCAATTGATTGTACCAATCCCCAGCTCTACCAAGAATTTGGGGTTTGTATCCATTCCCTTATCTGTACTCACAGGGCCACCATCTTTGTTCAGTCCCTCTTTACCTTTTGCTGGTACTGATTCAGTAGTCTCCCAAATGGGCCTTCTGACTCTAGTCTCTTCTCTCTTTAATTCATTAATTTACCCAGCTGTCAAAGTGATATCTATCTATCTATATCTATATCTATCTATCTATCTATCTATCTATCTATCTATCTATCTATCTATCTATCTATCTATATTTTGGCAACACAATTAGGGTTAAATGACTTGCCCAGGGCAAAACAGCTAGTAAGTGTCAAGTGTCTGAGGCTGCATTTGAACTCAGATCCTCCTGACTCCAGGGCAGGTGCTCTATCGCTGTTCCACCTTGCTGCCCCTAAAGTGATATTTCTAAAGCATAGGTTTGACCATGTTATTCTAGTGGCTCCCCATTCCTCTTAGAATCAAACACAGATCTTAACATATTTGGGTAGCAGATACATTAAGGTGGGCGTGTTCGTTTATAATATAGCAGCAGCCTACCTTTTGAGACTTATTTTGGATTACTCTCATTTATGCCCTTTATAGTTTGGCCAAACTGCCTTTCTTGCCTTTCTTCACACAGGATATTACATCTCATGTCTTTATGTCTTTTCATACCCTTCAGAATCTCTAATCTTCTTTAGCCCAACTAGTGTCTCCAGAATAGGAGACCTCAGTTGCTATTTTTTCTTTATTTTTGAGGTAATCAGGTTCAAATGACTTGTCCAGGGTCACACAGCTAGTAAGTGTCAAGTGCCTGAAGCCACATTTGAACTCATGTCCTCCTGACTCCAGGGGCGGTGCTATATCCACTTCACCACCTAGCTGCCCCTGCTATTTCTTTTTGTGCCCCCAAATCACTGTGTTAGCTTTTGTAGGTACTATGATGTATATTTACTGTGTATCTACTTATACTGTCCGGGTTGTTCCCCCCACCAGATTGTAACCTTCGTGAGGGCAGGGATTGTCTGATTGCCTGGCACATAGTAGAAGCTTAAGAATGATTTCTTGCCTCCTTGTGACTGCAGACTTGTTTCTCCCTGCCCTGGTCATGTAGATGCATCCTTGTCTCTGTGTGTGTGTATGTAAGTCTACCTATCCCTCCATATGTGTCTTTCCTTTTCAGTGTCTCTGCTGTGGCATCTGTCTCTTCTCTGTCTGCCTCTCTCTCTCTTACTTTCCGTCTGTCTTTTGCTCTTTGCCTGGGTCTCTGGTTGTACCTGTTCCTCTGTATTATTCTGTTTTTGGTTCTCTGTGTTTGCACACATGCCATCTGCAGACGACATAGCAGGGTCTCTTAACGTGCCACACCTGGCCCGGGCTGGTACGTCTATACAGACACACTGTCTATTGCCCTACAGTGGAGAGCTCTAAACTCTGTCCGGACAGTGCTAATTAGCCCGCATGAAATCATATGCACATAATGGAGAAGATTGATTGTCTTCAGTCAGCCAGCAAGGGTACAGGGCGAGGGTGCTTCGGAAGACCCGGGTTTGGATTCTTGCCACTTATTGTCTCTGTCCGCTTGGGTAAAGCCCTTCATTTCTCTGAGACACATGTTCCTCACTTGTAAAGTGAGGGGATTGGACCAGATGATGACCCAGCCCTAAATCCTATAATTATTTATTTGGAGCCGGTTCGGGCAGTGTGCCCAGCTAAGTCGTATTAGGGCTGTGAAAGAAGTTGGCAGGTACCTTCTAGGGGTTTACAGTCTGGCTGAGGAGATAAGAGGAGCATCACACATAATATGTATTAAAATAATTAGAGAATAATAACACCACAGGAATATAATTAAGTGCCAGGTCATGTGGTTTCAGGCTCTGTAAATTCTGTTCCTACACAGAGAGATTAGACCAGATCTTTTTTAAGAATTCGGTTTATTTTTTTTTGATATTCAAGTCCACATTCTCTTTCTCCCACTTTGCGTGCCACAACCCTATTGAGAAAGCAAGAAAAATAAAACCTGTTATAAACGTGTGTAATCGAGCAGAACAAATTCCCATATAGGCCCTGTCAAAAATTATCTTAAAAAAAGTACACACGTGTGTATATATGTAATGTACAAACATGTGTACAACACACACACACACACACACACACATATATATAATTGCTTCAGTCTGCCCTCTGAGCCATCAACTGTCAATATGGAGGTGGGTAGCATGTTTTGTCATGAATCCTCCAGAATTATGGTTAGACCAGGAGTTCCTAACTTAGAGGACAGAGAATCTGAGAACTTTGAGGGAGAAAAAAAGTGCACCCTTATTTTTTATTAACCTTATTTTTACTGACCTCCAACAGAAATTTAGCATTTTCTTTAACTATGAATTTAAAGGAAAATCAGAATATTCTGAGAAAACATTGTTTTGGTTTCACCAGACTACCAGAGAGGTCAGCAATCCAAAAAAGGGTTTTAAGACTCCTTGGCTCCTAGACTTTGGGTCTGGAGGGAATCTTGGAACTCATCTAGTCAAGCTGCTTGGGCCCAACACTAGGGACCCTTTGGCTTCTCATTGCAAGTCCCCATGTTCTTTCCAGTAGATTTTGTTGCATCTTGGAAAAATGTGTGCTCTTTCTGAGTCTATACTTCCATTTTTGTATTTCTGTGTTTGCAAATAGTATTGTTTGCACAGACCCTGACGCAGGAGTGGGGTCTCCTGATGTGCACCATGGCTAGGGCTGGGGTGTGTTTGTGCGCGCATGCGTGTGCATGTATACACCACCCATCTGCCCTGCAGTGGAGACTGGAGCTAGCCTGTATAATGAACTTGATATTTCAGCTAAGAGGTGCCCAGAATAGCTTGTGTGGATAGATCCTGAAAATCACGGAGGGTCTCTAGACTTCATGGGAGAAGCCGTCGCTTAGGAACATGGAGGACGGAGTCAAGTTTTTGCTGGTGGGCATTCCAGGTGCTGGGGTTAGTATGAGAAAAGTCTCGAGTGCCCAGGGAGTCCAGTTGGCCAGGATTGGATGGGGGATGGTAAGAGAGCAGCATAATGAAGCATTTTTCTTTCCATATGCCATGCCATGTGAATGATAGGTTTTCTGAGAACATAGTTTCCTCTTGAAAATATTAAACTTGAAATTATATGTATATAAAAAACACTTCTGAGGCAAAACTCCTCTCTTAACTCTTCCTGTACTGTCATCCCTTTTCATTCCCATTGCTTTCACAGTCTATTCTTTTTTTTTGGGGGGGGGAGAGGCATACAGGGTAAAGTGACTTGCCCAGGGTCACAGGCCCAGCTCCACCTGCTGCATCAGCTGGGCACGCCAAAGTACATAGCAATCTTTTTATTTTCTCCTGGTTGACTCTATCCCAATCCACAGTGATTATTCCAGACCTCCCTCCTCAGACCTGCTACACCATCTCCTCCTCTTGGCTCTCAGCAGACTTTACTAAGAAAACAGAAGCCTTCCCTTGTGAGCTAGCTCCCCCTTCTCCCTTACTCCCTGCTTCAAAATTCCCATTCATTATTCCTCATTTTCTTTCTTTTTTTTTTGTTCCATTCTCTGATGAAAAGATGGGCCTTCTTGCCAAAGCTAAGCCCTCCATTTATTCTCTTGGGTCCCATCCTGGGCACCTCCAGGAGCTTGCCTCCCCTATCTCTGCCTTTTCTCTGCCTTCCCCCTCTCCTTATCCACTGTCTTCTTTGCTGCTACTTACAAATATACCCAGGTCTCTCTTGTCCTTAAAAAGCCTTCACTTGACCCTGCCAACTCTTCAGCAATCATCTACTCCCCACCCCCCTTCACAGCAGAAATCCTGGAAAAAGCCATCTACTGTCACTGCCTTCTTGACCTCTCGTTTCTTAGCCCCTTTTATCCTGGCTCCCAACTCCATCACTTGACTGAAACAGCTCTCAGGTTGCCAACGATCTGTTTTTAAGATAAATTTTGGTTGATGTCTTTTGTTTTTATATTTAATAAATTGCCCTCTGTGTCCTTCCTCTTTCTGCTACCCGAGAGGTATCTTTTATCAGAAAGTATATTTTTTAAAAGAAAAAAAAGGAAGAGGAAAAAAATAATGAAACTGATCAGTATGATGAAAATGTCTCGTAATATATGCACTGTTCCCTTCTTGTCCACCTCCTACTTCTGCAAAGGAGTAGGGGGATAGATGATGTCTTGACTGCTAAGGCCAATGACCCTTCCTCAGTCTTCATTCTTCTTGACCCCACTGACCCTCCTCTTGAAGACTCTCCATTCTTGGCTTCTATGACTGCTTCCTCTGGGCTCTTCTACCGGTGGGTCTCCATCTTTCGGCCTGGATCATTACACTCCTCCCACCCAACATAGGGATATGGCTCCAGGCTCTGGCTGGGGCCCTTCTCTCATTCATTCTTTGTATTCTCTTCCTTCACAATCGCCATAGTTCTGTGAGTTCAAGGATCCTCTCTATGCAGGGATTCCCAGAAGTATCTATCCAGTCCTCTCTTGAACTCTAGTCTGTGATTAACACCAGCTTACTGGGCATTTCCATCTGGATGACCTGTGGGCATCTCAAACTCAGTGTGTCCAGATTGGAAACTATTTTATTTGTCCCCCAAACCGTCCCTGCTCTAGACTTCTCCGTGTCTGTTTGCCAGAAGCACCTTCCTTCCAACACACTCAGACCTTGAAGTCGTCCTCAGCCACGCCCCACGTCCAGTTGCCAACATTTCTCACATCTCCCCCATTCTCCACTCACACAGCATTCGCCATACTTCAGGCCCCTGTTGTTTCTTGTCTCTTCATACAGTTTTTCCTCTCTGTGATCCATCCTCCATCTAAATTAACATTCCCTAAACAGATTTGACTGTATCACTTTCCCTGTTAAAAAAATAAAAATCTTTGGTGGCTTCCTGTGCCTTCTAACAGAACACAAACAATCCTCAGTCCGGTATCTATCTAAGGCTCTTCAAAATCTGGTTCTGTCTTTTACGGGTTTATTTCCTCTTACTCCCCTTAATGCAGGATCCGTTATAGTCAAACTGGACTGCCCGTGTTCTCTGAGTCTGCTGTTCTACCTGGCCTCCACCTAAAAACAAGTGGTCTAGACGGCCCTCCCATCTCTCGTCTGCATCCCAGCAGCTCAGGTGCCTGTACCTGCCTGAGACCCTTCCGCCCTCTCTCTCTCACCCCCTCCCCCAGTTACCAGCATATTCTCCCTCCTGAAATGAGTCTGTAGACTTTGGATTTACTTTCTTAGGTACAAGTTGCATCCTTTGAGTAGAGAGTACACTCTTGAGGGCTGGCAGGGACTGTTCAATTTTTATCTCTGAATGTCTGGCATCAAGCCATGTGTTTCTTATTCATAATAGGCTTTTTTTTCCCCCCAGAGTCTTTTTTTTTTTACATTAGTCATATTGTAAGGAAGAATTAGAACCAATAGGAGGAATCACAAGAAAGAGAAAACAAAACAGAATAAGTGTAGATAGTATGCTTCCATCTGCATTCAGACTACATAGTTCTTTCTCTGTTTTTTCTTTTTGAGGCATTTGGGGTTAAGTGACTTGCCCAGAGTCACACAGCTAGTGTTATTTGTCTGAGGCCGAATTTGAACTCAGGTCCTGCTGACTCCAGGGCCGGTGCTCTATCCACAGCGCCACCTAGCTGCCCCCATAGTTCTTTAAGATACCAAGGTATGTCTGCCTTTGTTTTTTTAAAGGAGGGGTGTGATACAATCTGGTTTATGCATATATAAAAAGTTCAGGAGACACAGTTTTGGGTAATTAATCATATTTATTAATAATGCTAGCATATTATTAATAAAAGGGGTGACATTCTTGTATGCCAAAGACTGATCATGGTGTCGATTCAACGCTTATGTGTCCTTGGTAGAGTGGGTGTTCCTGAGGGTGGAAATCAACTCTGATTGGTTAACAATTAATGAGATAATGAATATTATAATATGAGGTCCTATTCTAATGAGGGGCCTGCGTTAGACTTTGATCATGTCATTTACTTTGAAATCACCCCAGCCATAGGCAATTTAATCAAAGAATTTATCTCCACCCAGACCTGCATAGGGCACAATAGGCTTCCCAAGATTGTTAAGAAAGTTCACCCAACCTCGCTATTGGCAATGTTCTTCAAAGATCGAACAACCCACTGGCTTCTGAAAAAATCCTGGTCCTAATTCAGTAGCTGATTATTCATATCTTTTGGAGTTGTCCTATATCCTTGCATTGCTGAGAAGAGCTAAGTCTATGAAAGTTAGTCATCGCACAGTGTGGCTGTTACTGTGTACGACGTTCTCCTGGTTCTGCTCACTTCACTCAGCCTCAGACCATACAGGTCTTTCCAGGTTTTTCTGAAGTCTGGCTGCTCATCATTTCTTATAGCACAATAGTATTCCATTACATTCACATACCACAACTTGTTCAGCCATTCCCCAGTTGATGGGCATCCCCTCATAATAGACTTTTAATGTGTTTGTTGATGAATTGATTTTGTTATTTGTGAAAAAAATGCCGTGCATCTGTTTTGCTCTGAATTATTGTCATCTGTAAGATGAGGGGGTTGGGTTAGATAATGCCCAGGGACCCTTCCAGCGATATATCTGTGCTCCTGTGGTCCAAGGGTGCCCTCAGGCCTCCCTGATCCACCCTGGCTTCAGGGATTTTCTCAATATATGTCAAGTGTTAATGGCAAAATTAGTCTGAGGAGTGTAATGGTCTGTTGGAGATTTGGGGAATGTGTCTTCTAGGCTTTCTTGGGGACTTTCACAACACAGATAGATTCAGAAACCCTGGTCGCTGGGGCTCTTAGGCCACCCCTCGTGTTTTGGGTTTATTATTTATGAGAATATTGGCTTGAAGAAATCGGATATGGCTTAAGCTTTCAAACCTTTCAAGCAAACAGAGGTTGCTGAAGCCCTGTTTTCTCAGGCCGGCATTTTCTTGCATTTCCTTCTCTGCCTTGCACAGGTTCCCTTTCAGCCGCCCCGAGCTGCTGAAGGAATGGGTGCTGAACATCGGCCGAGGCAACTTCAAGCCCAAGCAGCACACGGTCATCTGCTCGGAGCATTTCCAGCCGGACTGCTTCAGCGCCTTCGGCAACCGCAAGAACCTGAAGCAGAACGCAGTGCCCACAGTGTTTGCTTTCCGGGAGACAGCACAGGTAGGGACTGCAAGTCCAGATGCAGCTTGGCCATGGAGTAAATGAAGGACCTTTGCTTGATAAGAACCTATAATTAGGGGTCACTTCAGAAGTAATGGATACTTTGCAATAAGATGCTATCAGAGAGACTCTGCAGTGAATGACTCAGAGGCCTAGCTTCTCCCTGGCCTCTGACCCTTGCCCTCTGACCTGCAAGACAAGCACCAAGCTCTGCAGAGTCTGCCCTCAGGCCTCCTTTACTAAGAGGGACGGAGGACTGGGACTGGCTGTGCCCCCTCTGGTCTCAGAAAGACCGAGGAGTCCCATGAATATATGAAGGTACCTGGTGATAAGGGCATGTGTGCAGGGCCACACAGAGAGTGTGAGAGGTGAGATTGGATTCCAAGTCTTCCTGCCCCCAAGACCAGCCTCTGGCTACTCCCCCCCTGCTGTGGCTGTAGCCCCCTTGTCCAGGGAAAAGCCACCCAAATGACCACGGAGGAGTCATCAGCCTAAAGACAGGCAGGCTGTGAAGGGGAACTATTGAGACCCATTGCAGAATGAAAGAGAGGAGATAGGGTGGGTGCAGACTTCATCATGGAATCCCAGAATACTCCTAGCTACCTGAAGAGAGCTGAAAGAGAGAGTTCTAGTGAACTTAGAGGCGGTGGTGCAGTGGGCAGAGCACTGAGCTTGGAGTCAGGAAGACCTCAGTTCAAATGTGGCCTCAGACACCCTGGGCAAGTCACTGCCCCTCTGTCTGCCTCAATTTCTTCATCTGTAGAGTGGGCATAATAATAATAGCACCTACCTCACAGGATTTGTTATGAGGATCAAATGAGATCATATTTGTAAAGCGCTTTGTTAATCTTAAAGTGCTATACAAATGCTAGCTATTAGTAATCAAGAGAACGTGATAAAACTTTAATAATATACCTTCACTGAGCAGTTGGGGTGGGGGTGTTTGTGTGGAGAGATGGGGGTGGGAAAGAGCAACATCACAGGGAAAAAAGGCTGTGAAATATTTTTAAAGAAAGGCAGTTTTATTGCCTGCTGGTGCAGACAGTAACACTGCTGATGGGAAATACAGCATCAGGTTATAAGTCAGATTTTAAAGTCTTTTCTAAACAAGGACATTAGAATTATTTGCAGTTCGGCCCCACTTGAACTGTTCCTTAGCCATTATAAACCTTAAAATCGTCTGCAGACATGAGCTGATGTTCTTAAATGTGAGCTTCTATTGCAAGTAGGCTAAATAATTCACTTCACACTAAAGACACCTGTTTTCTACGGGTGATGTAAAGACGCACTCCAGCCCAGCATCTCCAAATCTTTGTCAGTTTCAAATGAATGGAGTTCAGATTGCTAGGGTTTTTAATTGTATTTCCCTGCACACCACATACATATTAGACATATAGAATTTGTTACCCCAATAGCTTTCTGTTCCAAGAACGCCAACCGCCTCAAGAAGTTTTCATGTAAATTTGCAGATGGATCATTGGAATTGTATTTCTTTGTTTCTAGAATTTCATTTCTAAGCATTTCCCATCTCTTTTTGACTGACTTATCCCATCATATTGGAGCCTACTGGGTTTTATCTCTACTTTTGTTGAAATCTGCTCCCCCCAAATCTAATCTATCAGATTATATCATAGATATATGAAAGGAACCTCAGAGAGCAGTTAGTCCAACGCTGTCATTTTACAGAGGAGGGGACTGAGGCCCACGGAGGTGACTTTCCCACAGTCACATAGACAGTGAGCAGTGGAGCAAGGGTTAGAATGCTGGTCCTTGGATTCTCAGTTCGACACCGTGCATGCCCCTCCTTGCATTTCCTCTTCTCTGTCACAAATTCAAATGCTGGAGTGGTCATTTACCTCCGCTCCCCACCCATCCCCTTCAAGCCCATCACGGGTCCTGTCATTTCTGTTAGTAACAGGTTCCCTGTGTTGGTGAGACTCAGATCCAAAATATTAGTTCCTCTCGTTGCTTCATCTTTTGATGGATAAAATTATTAAGACAAACCAAGTGAATGTTGGTTGCTCTGCTGTGGGAGGGAAATGGATGTCATATCTGAATACCCTTCTGTTTTTGAGGGTGGCGTCATGTAACGTAGCTGCCGCCGCCTCTTCCACCAAGCTCAGTGTGCATGCTGTTTGAGGACAACCACCGGTCACATTGGTGGGTTAGTTTAGGAACATCTCATTGGATAGGGAAGCTCCCTCTGGGACCAGGGGAGAAGCTGAGTCTTTCTGTCCTTGCATTTTTCAAGGTGCACTGTGCCCAGAGGGAAGGCAGGTCCTGTTAAAACCTCTGTCTTGTGTTTCTGTCCCCCTGCAGCTGGTTAGGGAGAACACAGACCCTGCTGGCCAGAGGAGTGATGCGCAGGCACAGCCAGGGAAGGTAAATCTCAAAGCTGTACAGAGTGTGGTTTGTTATGTGATTTCTCTTTTCTTTTTTGAGCTAAGCAGTGGGGTTAAGTGACTTCCCCAGGGTCACATAGCCAGTAAGTTATGTGTCTGAGGCCAGATTTGAACTCGGGTCCTCCTGAATCCAGAGCCGGTACTCTACCCACTGTGCCACCTAGCTGCCCCTGTTATGTGATTTCTGAGCAGGCCTAATCACCTTTGGAAACATTGGCCACACTGACCACCTTGCTGTTTCTCCAAGATGCTCCATCTCCCAATCTGCTGCTTCTGCCCTTGGCTGTCCCCGATGCCAGAATGCCCTTCCCTCCTCTGCCTCCCCACTCTTAGATTTCCTGGCCTCCTGCGAGACTTAGATCAAATCTCACCTTGTGAAGGAGACTCTTCCCTTTGAGGTGACCTTCCGCCTCCTTTGCATATATCTTGTGTATGCTTACTTGTAGAATATTCTCTTTGAGGGCAGTGATTAATTTTCTCCTTCTTTGTACCCCCTGCCTGGCACTGGGTAATGAATGCTGGCTGGCTGCTGAGGTGGTAGGAGGGTGGGCCGGGCAGCCTGTCTGCAGCCCTGAAAATTTCCTTAAGGAAAGGGCTACTTTGGTGAAGTAACAACTTTCAAATGACTAATTTAAAGAAATCATAAAGGAGAGCAGAAGACAGAGGTTTTTCGTACCTTTTTCTTTTTAAAAAATATTTTATTGATGCCATTTTTTTTACAAGTATCACTTTCCACTGACATCTCCTTCTCCCCCACAATGATAGATCTGTCCCTTGTGACAAAAGGAAAGCAAAACTAGCCAACAGTTGGCCCCTTTAACGGGTGGATTCCTCATTGTGTACCTGTGGTCCCACTCATCTCTGCCAGGATGGCGTGGTTTGCTTTACCACAAGCTCTCTGAAGTCACGATCATATCTTTTCACTTTTTGTCCATCATTCTTAAGTGGTTACAAGTTTTATTTGCTTCTAACGTATGTATTTCTATTTTGTGTAGAAAGTGTTGCTTGTTCAAGCCATGGTATAAAAACGTGGTGGGCTACCTGATTTTCATAACCCCCTCCACCCCGCCAGGGTTACTTTGGGGATGGTACAAAGGTGTATGGGCTGTAAGGTGCCACCTAATGGGGGACCCAGAAGGGCTTCAATGCTAATTCTCCATTGCTGCTTTTTAGGTCTTCTCAGGAGCAGGGGCTGGGGAATATACCCCAGGAAGAAAGATGGAAATCCCACTTGACAAGCACCAATTATCCCCAGATGCTGAGGCTTCTGAAAAAGAGGTAGGGTGTTAGGCTGTGGGTCCTCTGGTTAAAAATAGAAAGGAAATACTTAGCTGTTCATTCTCTATATTTTTAAAATGTTATGAAAGAAATGTTTCTTACCAACATAGAAGCCAGAAAGAACATGGCACACGTCTCCCCAAAATGCCCTCTCTGGGAGAGCCAAGATCTGAATGGGTTTACCCATGACTATACTGTGTTTATTATTTTCAGCATAAATAGCAGATGCAGTTGATTTCTAGGCACTTTCAGCCGAGTGTGTGAGGATGCCAAACACCTGCCAGGGGATCCCACAAGCAACACCCACTTCCTGAAAACAAGAAAGGGCAGATTTGTGCCAGGGAAGCAGGGATGGGAATTCCCCCTTTATACCTCATCCCTCATCTACCTTTGCTCCTAGGTCTCCTCTTACACGACACAGGAAGTCTCATCCCGCCTCCTGCCCACCAGTCCTCCAGGGCAGAGAGGTTCACTTCCCTTCCTGGCATCAGATCACAGCTATGCTCTCCTGGACTTAGATGCTTTAAAAAAAAAACTTGTGCTCACACTGAAGGAAAATGAACGGCTCCGCAGGAGGCTAAAGATGCAGAGGGTGGCCATGAGAAGGATGTCCAGCCGCCTTCAGGCTCTCCAGGAGGAGAAGAGGCGAAAGAAAGCCCTGCAGAGGGAAGAGGAAGGACCGGCAGCCTGAGCTGGAGGAGCTCCCTCCTCTGGAAGACAGACGGTGGTCCATCGCCTCGTCCAGGGCCCCGCTCCATGGCGGCAGCGGCAGCGGCTCGGGCCCCACTGCTGCCGGCACTTTGGAGAGACTAGCACCCCGAGCATGGCAGAGGAGAGGAGTGTTGGGGCAGTACAGTAAGTGGAGGGAAAAAAACCCGCTCACTGCCATGCTGGGTCAGAAAGGGGAAGCGTCTCAAACACAGACTGAGTATGATTCCATTTCAGTGTTTGTTTTTTTGCTACCACCGCATTTCAACACGAAGCAAACATTCCCTTAGGATTGATGAGCATAGAAGGAGCTAACAGTGGGACCTAGGCTGCAAGAAGGATGTCTTAAGTCAAGGGGATTAGCTAGATGTGATGGTGGAAGAGAAAACCAGGTAGGTTTCTTTTGGAAAGAATGGAAAGATCCAGAGAACAGTATTTTCCGAGGCAGTGCCTGAGAGTCCCAATCCTCTATGGAGTCACTCCTGCCCAAGCAGGCACTCGGAGGTCTGTCTGGGTTGGGGTTTGCCAGTATCCTGTTGTAAAGTGGTATAAATTGCACTCGTATTCCTAGTCTGAGAGGGTGTGCCTGCGCCTCCTACAAGGACTTTGCAGGTTTCTGTCCTTTGCTAGATAGGAATCACTTGTTTTGAGTTTCCCTCCTCGCTCCATCCAGGCTACTGTGGACATGGAAAAAGGCTCAGAAATGGTTTCACTTTATGCCTTGTAAAGCAGTGGACAGGGCACATACCTTTGACAAAAACATTTTGTTTATTAAAACCCCTCACACAGCTGATTACAGGCCCCCCCCCACCGGACTTCAAGTTCCTTGGACCAGTGTGATGTACAACACCGTGACAGCCTCTTCCTTCTGTCCGTGCATGCTGTGCTTTGTGTAAACAGTAGTGTCCTATGTGTGACATAGCCTTGTGGGAGGCTGGAGGAGGCAGAGATTTGTGCTTCCTAAGCATGTGTGGGACACTGTGGTTCAGTCAGAGGAGGGGTGAAATAAATCTGGAAGGAGCCTTCAGTGAAACCACTGCCTCTTTCCATGATCGTGCTTTTGAAAAATGAGTCCCAGCTCCAGCTTTCAGAAAGGGTTTATTATTGACAATACAGTGCCTTCTGTACAACCAGCTTCAACAAAATGAAGAAAATTGGTACCCACAAGAACCATCTGCAGCAAAGGGGACAACGGGCCGCGTGAAGTCAGAGTCCTTTGGCAAAGTTTATTGCACAATTTGTATTAGCTTCAGGTATAGGAAACATTGTAAAAATGGGCATGAATGTCACAGAATTAGACAACCTGAACTGTTTGTTTCTTAAAAATTTGGGGGAGGGAGCATGACTGATTACGCCGATACCAAAGCCCAGGCATGGAGAGCTTGATTCTAGTAGCTGTGGGGGGGGCAGAAGGCTGGGCCCCTGCAAATCAAACTCCTGCTCATGTGATTGCACTTAGAATAGAGCTACATAACCCTCGGAGGTGCACAGGAACAAGGCCATTCCACAACCAAGAGCACGGGCCTGTTTGCTTGTTGGACTGATTACTACAGGTAACTTGGAAGACTATTCAAGTGTATCCTGGTTCCTAACACCTTCTGCCTCCACTACAACGGGCAGGTCAAAAAAGAGGACCTTCTAGAGCAGAACCACCCCACTCTTCCTGTAAGTGGGGAGGATGTGCCCCCTGGCTATCCCTGGGGCCACCTGCTAGAGGGAGCCCTGCCTGCCCACTCCTACAGGAAGTCTTTTCGAGGGGTTTTACAGACTCACTCAATTAGCACCTCTCTACAGCATTGGCCAGTTTTCTCCCAATCAGGCTAATGTTTCTCCCTTGTCTCCCTGTGGCCTTCTCCTTGTCCAGTAAGTGGGCAGTGGTCCCAGTTCTCAGCCAGATTGGCTGAAAACATGGGAAGGATCCATGGTTTTCCATGCAATGTGTGGGGGAGGCAGGTAATCCTAGTTACACTGGGAGAAAGCCAAATCCTGGGCCTAGGGTTCACAGTTTTAGTGGTAATATAAAGACAAATGCAGTGGGAAAGGCAAAGATGTCTTCCAGACATGTTCGCTGTTCTCAGGTAACAAGCATTCATTCAGTAAATTCAGAACCTTCTCCAAATCCCCTTTTCGGTAATCACAAGACATGAAGATTGTCGGGAGGAAGCTGGTGTGGATGCTTACTCACTTCATCATCAGGACCACACCATGGCCCGTGTTTTCCTTTTGGTTTGCAGGAAGCCTCCAGAAGTAAGGGAGAGGGCACAATGTCCCACATACACCTCATGAAAGAGCCCTGAAACTTGGGGTTGGTGGGCCACTGTCGCTCCGATGCCGGAGGATGTGACCCAGGGCTCTGTGCCCCGAGGGGCCCTCTTCCCAGCAGGGCCATGCTCTGTGCCCACAGGCTCCTCCAGGAAATGGGCATCTGTCAGCTTTGTGGTTGTAGTCAAGGGCAGGATTACCTTAGTACTACAGTACCCATGAAAGCTGGGGTGGTTATGTGTCCCTTCACATAATTGGTAAATGACCTTCTATAGGAATAATACAAAATGAAAACATCTGTAGGTTTCTGTTTCATGTGCTTCCAAACTTTCAGACTCCCAGGAAAAGCAGTTTTGCAGCATCTTCTTGACCCCTTGTTTTCTCATAAGGTTTATCCATCAGTATCGATCCTGTGAGCTGTGAGAGGAAAGACAGGCTCAGGGCTGGGAGGAATTGATTGTAGTCCTGTTACATGCAGAGCAGTGGCATAACAGGGAGGGTCTGTCTGGAGCCCACGGGGCCAGTACAGTGGGGGTTCTCAGCCTCCTGTTGCCAGATGATGGGTTCAGCCCAGTCATCCAAAGGCAAGAACATGGCTTGCTACCTCTACATGTGGGTACCTCGAGGACAGACTGTGTCCCAGAGCAGTCGCCCCTGGAGGACAGGTGGGCAGGACAGGGCAGGATGACTTACACTGCTTTGGTATCCGAAGGGCTTCTTTGTCTGATGCCATCACTTGGTGCAGCACTCCTCGAAACTGGTAAAGCACCTTTAGGCTCTTCTCTTCACCCACACATGGGTCATAAAACCCAGGAAGCCCAGCCTGTGATGACAGACACAGAGATACCATGAGTCAGCCCTGCAAATCCTCCTAAAGTTTGGCCTGGAAGCTAACCAGGGTAGCCATAACAGGACGCAGCATCAACATCAAAAATTATCCCTAGAAGACAGGCCTCTGGAAAACACAACCATTGGCTCTAAAAGTTCCCTCTTCGGTCCCAGGCTTCCAGTCCCAACACAGGTCCTTCCCTTCTCATCCTACAAGTCTGTGTCTCCACAGGAGCACCTCTGCCAAGTGGAAAAATGAAACAAAAACCCAGAGACTCTAGTCCTTCCTTAAGGAAGCTCTTGAGTTCTGGAAGGTTGGCATCAAACCTATTTATATACTTGTTTACTGTATGCCCAGCCTTCTACAGGTTCTGTGACCAAAGGGCATGGCAGAATCCTGGCTTGGGCTCTGAGGGAATTTAACAACATCCAATCAGTCAGCTTGCCTGCCACTGTCACCATCCGCCTCCCCCCATCCTGTGGGCATGGCAAGGCCGGTACCTTGGAGGCTTCCGTGAGGATTAGCTTGGAGTCCTTCACCAAGCACTGCAGGGGGACAGTGACATCGATCACCTTCACTTTCTCGTTCTTCCTGCTCTTGTCATTGACAAACTTGCCATACCAGGCGTTCAGGATGATCAGTCCTGAGGAACACAGTGAGTTACGGCCCAGAGAAGGTGCCCTTGCCCCCCTGCTTTGCTCCCCTCCAGTACCCAGAGCCCCCTTGACCCAATAAAGCTGACGGTGCTTTTACCCATTCTGGACTCCTCTGCCTCGATTATTCTTCGTACAGATTCCTGCATCAACCGAACCTGCCAATGAACCAAGATGGTAGAAGTCAGCTTTCACTGGGTCCCGCCACAGAGAGGAAACCAAAATAAGGAGCAATGAAAACAGGTGGAGTTAGGGGGAAGGCAGAGAGCCAGCCACAAACAAGCCCAAGCTGAGAACCTCAGTCTTCAGCTCCAGGAATGGGACCGCCCTGACAGGGAGAGCTTCCTGACTACATGGCAACCTTAGGGTTAACTCAGGCTTGGGCTGGGGGAAAAGTGAAGTGGCCTTCCATGGAGCTCCTGAGGCCTGGGGGAGAAGCTGAGAATGCCTCTAGAGGACTGCCTTTAATGAAAGTATTACACTGAGCTGCTGAGAGGAAGGAGGAAAGGTGTGCCCAGCTTTTAAAAATCATCATTCCTGGGGCAGCTAGGTGGTGCAGTGGATAGAGCTCCAGCCTTGGAGTTAGGAGGACATGAGTTCAAATCCAACCTCAGACACTTGACACTAGCTGGGTGACCCTGGGCAAGTCACTTAACCCTGACTGCCTCACCAGAAAGCAAAAAAAAAAAAAACAACCCATCAGCCCCGCTGCCATAAACTCTAGATGGCAGAGACCACCATTTGGGGCTCATCAGCTACATCACAGTGGTATTCCTAAAGTAAAAGGGCACAGAGAAGACATGATGAGTGTGAAGAATTCGGAGAAGCCTGAGGAGACATATGGACTGATGCAGGATGAAGAAAGCAGAGCCAAGAGAAATGTACCCAGTGACTACAATGTAGTAGATGAACATGGTACTAAAAGTCAGCCAAATGGACTAATTGCAAAGGTCAGTCTTGGTCCCTGAAAAGAGTCCTCTAGAAAAGAAGCACACATCTTCCTTCTCAAGAGAGGAAGACGGGGCTGCAGCCAGATGCAGTCGCTTCGTCAGACAAGTTTTAACTCTGTCATAAGGAAGGGGTCAGAAGGGGTCACTGGTGATGGCTGGCCGGGGGGAGGGGGAAGGGGACGGGACAGAAAAGCTAATTATCAAAGCATAAAAACAATCATATGAAGGGTCTGAGTCACACTTGAAAGTCATGTGCAGGGCCCCTGGTGCTCTCAACTGCCCATGATGACAAAAGGCATGGGAAGCGCTGGGACCAAGTGCACAATGCCCAATGGCCCGGCCCTGGGTCACTCACAGCAGATTCTGCCTCCTGTTTCTTCTGCAGGATGTCAGTGGCTGTATTCTCTCTCTGCTTCTCCAGTTCTCTTACAAAAAAAAACACAAGCCACACGTGAGCCACATGGTATTCCACAGGAGTACAAAGAGTCAGCCTCTCTGTCAGACCCTCTGGCAGAAGGTGTGACTCTAGCTCTGGGGCTTCTCTAGGCTTGTTAAGGTGGCATCATGCCCACCTGTGAGGAAGAGCTGGACAGCCCATTCATATGACCTCATGATGCTGCCACCTAACTGCTCCAATGGAATATGAGGGACACCTAACTTTTCTGAAAGCAGACCCTATCTAGCAAAACCTCACCAGTGCAGAGAGACTAAATCACAGTAAAGGAGGAGAATCATATGATGCAATTCAACTCACTGTGAAAGCTCCCAGGATTGTAGTTTTTGTTAAAGGTCACTTGGACTTACTCTTGTAATTTTCTTATAGCAAAGTCACTCCTTATCTTCACTACTGCCCCCTCCTTCTTGGCGAACCCCTTCATCCCATCAAATATAGTGGCATTCTAGTACTTCTGCAGTGACTTTAGGTCAGAGTGATTCCAACCAAATGACTCCCATTCCCCATTCTTCATCACATTTCTCAGGCCTTCAGGGATCTCAGGACACACAGTTCCCACAGACGCAGCATATTCTTAGGCAAAAGCAGTCCCAGGGAGAAAGGACAAACTCACTTCTCTTTCTGAGCCCTGAGGTATGGTTTGATGACTAGTTGGTGCATGGCAAAGTAAACAACCAGAGGTCCCACGGTGGCATAGAATATAGCACTGGGAAGGAGCTGATCCGTCAAGTGAATAGGGAAGAAATAAGTCTGGCTGGCCCTGTTCAGCCTACAAAATAAGAAGGAGAAGGCTCAGTTTCCCAAGATGGCGTCCAGATAAACAATATAACTCAGTCTCATGGGATAAGTTTGCTCTGGGGCCAAACTCTCTTCTGACTGACCCTTCGTCAAGTCTCCTACTGCACAAATGCGGGAACCTGTGTAGGAGATATGTGATGGCCATAAGGACATCAGCACCAGCTGGTTTCAAGGGTAAAGCAATGAGTCTGTTCTCCGTGGGATGGCAAGAACCACTGCAGGCCAGGCCTGAAAGTGTGGGATATGGATTCTGTTCTAAGAAACAGAAATTCAGTTCAATTGGTGTCATTTACTGTACAGGAGGGGGAGTACTCGAGGAGGGATGAGGTGGAAAAGAGGAATGTTTTAATCTGTCAAGAATTGAAAAGGTAGACAAGGATTAGAGTTCACTTTTGGGGCTCTGATGCCACCTGCTGGACGAATGTGAGTTTGGCAATCAGAGCTTGGGACAGGGATGGACAATTAGCTAAAGACAATTTATCGGAAAGATTTCTGCAGTGTGTGAACAAGGCAAAAATGAAACAGCAGAGAAACTGTTTACACGCCGATAACGCCATGTGGTACAACTAGTTCTAGGTATGAGAAAGGCTTCTTTCATGGCATGGAAAGGCTGTTTTGTGGGTGTGAAGCCTGTCTGAATGGCTCCAGCTCAGGGCCTTAAAACTTCAACAGATCTGTTCTTTTGCATCTACTCTCCTTTCTGAATCAGGGGTGTGATCCACAGAAACCTCAGACCCCCACAACTGGAAGCCACAACTGCTTGTCTCCTTGGCACTAACTCCCACATCAGGGATGAAGCTGCCCACCAAAGGGTACCCCCACAGGGACTGCTCCCACTTGGGTGAGATGTCTAGCCAATTTCCAGGGTTTAACTTACTTGATTTTGAGAGAGACACCCTGTGGGACTCCAACGCTGACAGTAGCTCCTAAAATACTGTGCCTAGAAATCTTCCTCTCTGCTCCATACTCTACCACCGTCCCAAAGAAACCTGCCCTAGGAAGACCACACCAGACAGGGTAAGACCAAGAGAGATGTTTCAGTGCTGTTCTCTTTAGGGGAGGGAGACAATGACTGACCTTCCTTCTCAATGACACATCCCTCCCAGCCACAGGTATGGTTATAACTGACATTTTCCCACTTCATTTAACCAGCAGAGCCAACTGCAGCTGGCACCATCAGACAAATCATGTAGCAACGTACCTTATACCAACTCCCCCCAACCTGATCAGAAAACACCTTGCTAAACCAACATACTTCTGTGTTGGAAGCAATGATGACCTGTCTGGGACTTACTTGAGAGAACCCTTCACACGTGTCTGATCATCATCTTGGAATTTATATTGATAGCTGATCGATGCAAAGGAGTGGGGGATTCCAAGCTTTGAAAAGAGAGGGTGGGAAAGGACATCAGTTATACCGTTCCTTGGCAAAACCAGATGTGTGGCATGACTTCATCACTCTAGCCTTACTTCATAACCCTCTACCCTCCACCCCAGGCATGCTATGCTCCAACCAAACCAGACCACTGTCCGCCCCACACACGTGTGCTCCAGACCTTTGCTCACACTGATCCCATGCCTAAAAGGTTTTTCCCTTTCCCTCTTTTCCCACTGAATTCCTATGGATCAACTCATATATCACCTCCCCCATGAAGCCAACCCTGACAAATGGCAATGAATGACCTTTTCTGTTAGACATCACAGAGCCTCTGAACCTCATCTGGTGTATCTGTCAGGTAATACTGTAAATACGATGTTAATCTCATTGGTGTTTGAACCCCTTACTAGACTGTGAGCCTCGCAGGCCACACAAGCTCTGGCCTGTCTTTGTGGGCCTTTGCACACGATGGGCAGTTCCCAATGTGTTGAATCCAAGTGTTCTGGGGTCCCCGGGACATTGGAGCTATGACAGCTGCCAGGCCTAATGCATTGAGGATAAAAATTCTAGCAATGCACTCTAGGAAAAGGAGCTCTGGAAGTGGAGACAGGAGAGCTGGTTCAAATCCTAGCTCCAGCACTTACAAGGTATGTGACCATGGGGCAAGTCACCTTCCTTCTCTGAGCCTTAGCTTCCTCATCTGCAAAATGGAGATAATACTGATGCTCCCTCTCTCACTGGGCTGGCGGTCCTGTTATTCTGGAATGATGAGCCCCTGTGAGCTGCTCTGGGCCCCTCAGCAAAGGGCCGCCAGTCTGGCCTGTACCCCTAACTCTGGGCTGCTGAAAGCCCTCCAAGCTTTACAATCCATACATTTTTCTACCAGAATACGGGCTCTTCCAGGGCATTAAGTCACATTCCTCTTTGGGGGACAATCATTCCATTCACATTAGAAATTGAGGACGACCTCATAGCCTCCAAACAAGTGTTCTACAAGTACAGAGTGACCTCAGCTGCCCAGCCACGTTACATCCTCCCCACGAGGCACAGCGGCCAGGCTTAAAAAGGGCAACGAGGGGCTGAGAGAGGGAACGGTGACCACGGCCTCACCCCAAAGCCTGGGATGAGGCACCTCTGTACTTCCTTTGTTCCCTGCATGGCAAGCCCTCTGCTGCAGCTCACCTGAAAGGCCACGGTGAAGTGGCTGGTCTTCGTGTCCCGGACAATGCTCGTATTCATGGCCGACTGGATGCCCCATCGCCACTGCAGATAGCCCATGGTGTTCTTATCGAGGTTCCTTGCCAACACAGTGGTCAGGCCGGGCCGGATTCCCCGGGATGAAAACTGCAGAGCACAATTGGTCGTAATAAAGCTGGAGAAGAAGTAACAGCAGCAGATCAGCCACAATATCTATCACCTGCCCTCTCTTCCCAGTGATTCTAGAACTGACCAGCCCTTCATTCATCACAGGCCCCCAGGGTAGAAGGAGGCAGTGCCTGAAAAAAGGGCGATTCTCAGTCAGTCATCCTGCTGGTCTCCGACAACATAGGCCAGACTCCAGGCCCGGTGGGCACTGCCTCAGGCTGCACTGACTGGACGCTGACAAAGGGCACCCATTCACGTGACGTACACCACACTCCAATTTCTAATATGAATCCCCAGTCTATGATTTCTTTTAACATTTCTTTGCAAGTTAGATTTTTGAAAGAGGAAACTTGTGCCACCTTCTGGCTACAGAAGGTTATTTCATGCCATTAAAACGGGCACATGAAGCTTGTAAACTTACTCTATTCTAATATCTCTCTCTCTCTCTCTCTCTCTCTCTCTCTCTCTCTCTCTCTCTCTCTCCATTCTCCCTCTCCCTCCTCCACTTCCTCTTTCTCTCCTGTATGCCTCTTTTTTCCACTCTCCCTTTCTCCATCTCTTTCTCTGCATGCCTCTTTTCCTTTGTCTCCCTCCTTCTCTCTCTCCCTTCCCTTTCTTTCCCCTCTCCCCTTTCTCTTCTCCCCCCTCTCTTTGTCTCTGTCCCCTCCTTCCTCTTTTCTTCTCCTCTCTCCCCACTCCCCAAGCTTTGAAAGTCTCCCATTTGAAAAAAGGAACAAGAATACTGCATCTGAGAAATTTTCTTTTGGAATAAATAAAAATGACACATTTGTACCTGAAACAGAACCCATGCCAGTTTTTCTCTCTGTAATATTTCTATACAAAGTACAAGGATTTTGTATTGTTTTCTACCTTGTTCTTCAAACTGAGTTTGCATGGGTGCTTTCAAAACGGGGAAACTTAGGACCTCACACCTATGGTTCTGGAGGCAACAATGGTAACAAAGAGCGAGGATGAAGAAGGGGGGCTTGGTAGGCAGTTCAGAGGATCATGGGCTGTAAAGCTGTAAGGCACCTTAGAGGGCCAGAATGACCCCCACATTTTACTGATGAAAAAAAGTGTGTGTGTTGGGGGGGAACAGCTTACCGACGGTCTAGAGGCTGAGGAGGGAGGATTCAAATGGAGGTCTTCTGATTCCAAGACCATCATCACTTTTTCTATGGCCTGATGCTGCCTCTCTGTTAAGGCCTTGGTGTAAATACAGCTGACAACTAAGCATGGCTAGAAAAATTACAAAGTTCCCCTACTATGGAACAAATCTTTACTCAGGCCAAAAAATTAGAGAACCACATTCTCCTATCATCTCAAATCAAACACAGGGCTCTATTCACTGCAATCAATTCAATTCAACAAATGTCTACTGCAGCTACTACATGCCTGGCATCATGTGAGGCAATAGGAATAAGAAGTCACAATCAATTCTAAATCTACAAGGAGCAACAAAACAGATGATTACTTTATATTAAATTTACCATCTTGGTGTAAGGTTACGAAACAGCTTTAGGCCAAATAAGGGGCCCTGAAGGTCTCCGGCTCCAAATTCAAACTGTTTAGACAGAAAGGAAGAAAAGTCAGAAATGTTTTCATCTTACAGCTGCTACCAAGGTCTCATATGGACAACCCCCTCCAGAGGGGCTTCACCCTCACAGCCATTAGACACCACCCCCCTTCTCCACCCGGGTTCTGTTCTAGGGACTCAATCAAGAGGGCAGGCTTTGAAGTCTGAGAAAGAACAAGCAAGCAAGGGGGCAGCCTCCCTTCGGAGACAGAGAAGCCACTGCCTGCCCTGCCTGTCTTAGGGTAGGAGAGAAAATTCCCCTAGAATTAAGAAATCAGTGTGGCATGGCCAATAGCCTGAGCTTACTTATAGTCTTTGCCTGGAGCTTAGAATCTGCCGTATGCCCTGATCTGGCTATCCTCAGACCATCTGGGGGTTGGCTTTTACTACACAAAATGGTCTCTACTGAACAGAGTTTGGGCAATGCCCAGCAAACAGTCTATGATGGGCAGAAAGAAGGCCTGGCCAATAAGCCACTCTTACCTCTCCCCATCCTTTTGCAGAGGTCACTCGCCGGAGGGCAAAGTTAATGGAACCTCCTCCATTCCCATTCTGGGTTGAGAGGCTTCCAGAGAGGATGGCTGTGTCAGTTGTTGTCAAGGGTGCCTGGGGAACAACATTTGCTGGATGAACCAAAGCTATGAGCAGTTCCGATTGCAGCAGCCTAATGAATATGTTATAAGGACGCAGTCAAATCTGCAGATGACTCCCCGATCAGCAGCCTGTGGCCATGCGTGATCACCTAAACTGCTTTCTTCCTTTCTCAGGTGCAGCAAGCACTTGGCTAACTGGACTGCCTGGGACCCGTGAGTTAACACGTTCTGAGTACTTTTATAGCCCGACTTCACAAGGCCATAGCCTACAGTAAGAGCTGGGCTCTTATTGGGCCAAACTGCAGCGACATTTTCATTTTACTGCCCTGGGAGCACTGTCTGTGACTGCCCCAGACTGTCCTGACTGCCCAGCATCTGGCCTCCCTCAGGGCTTCTGGACAGCTCCAGGAGGACCATGAGCTTCCTAGAATCAGCACCAGGGAATCCGGGGCAGCCATGCCTGATGGCTCACTGTCTTCTGGATGGGCCTCCTGCAGAATGGTGATTCCACTTGTTTTTCTAAGTCCGCCTCTGTGATTTTGCTGAGGGGGGAGAGGAGATTCCCAGCACGGAAATCTCTTACACTATGGCAGATCCGCAGCTTGTGTGCGCCCGACAGTTTTGGAGAGCTGCCTGGGGCACAGAGAGGGGTTCAGTGGCTTGCCAATTACATAGCCAGTATGGATGGGAAGTAAGACTTGAACCCTGGTCTTTCTGATTTACAGGCCAGGCCTCTATCTACCAAGACAAGCTGTCTCTTCACTTAACCAACTTAGAGCCTAGAGGACTGAATTACAGTGACCTCAGAACAGAAGTCAGTGTAGAGAGAAATAGAGGGGGCTGGTGGATATCCAAGGGACACCAGACTGCATTTTAAAATCACCTCTCCTGGTCACTTGTGGCCTTTAGGCATCCACTGTGGACTGGACTTGTAGAATGAGAGGCAACGGGGTACAAAGCACTGGATTGAAGCCCTGGTCCTGTCACTCCCACCTGTGTGACAGGGATCGGTCACTCGGCCCCTCTGGCCTCACTCTCTGCCCTGGAAAAGGAGGGCCCTTACAGCTTTCAGGCTGACCATCATTAGGACCAAGCCCAGCAACTGGTCACAACCAGAGACACCTGACCATGCAGTCTCAAGGCCTTCTCCCATTTTACTTAGCATATGTTTGTACTGGCTTATCATGAACAAATATGGTATTTTTCCTCAGAAGAATGGGATATACTCTTGTCTTTGTATCCTGGGTACCCAACACAGTGTTCAGTACACAGTAGGTCTTTGTTGAAGGAATCAGTACAAATATTTGTACCTATTAAAATGTCTGAAACACCATCAAAACAAGATTTAGCTGCAACCAGAGGGTTTTTGTTTTTTTATACATTTTAAATAAAAAATTATAAATACTTAATATGTAATATTTAAACATTTAGGCATAAAAATAATATATAGCTACATAATGCGGTGGATAGAGCACTGGGCCCAGAGTCAGGAAGACTCAGCTTCATGGATTCAAATCTGGCCTCAGACACTTACTAGCTGTATGACCTTGGGCCAGTCCCTTAATTTCTGTCTGCCTTAGCTTCCTCAAGTTAAAATGGGGATAATAATAGCACCCACTTCCAGGGCTGTTGCGAGGATCAAATGAGAAAGTATTTGTAAAAAGCACTCAGCATAGTGCTTGGCATGCAGTAGGTATCATGTAAATGTCAGCTGTCAACCTCCCCATCATCGTTAAGGTTGATAAGCACAGCTCTTTCTTCCTAAACAAAGATGAGACAGCCGCCCCCCCCCCCCCCCCCCCCCTTGCTGCTCGGTGCCAGGGGCCTTCCCTGCACTGGCACAGGGGATGTTAGACCTTACCTCGATGGACTGGGAAATGTGCATTTTGTTAATTTCAATCCGAGGAAAGCCGCGCCCAGGGCCATCTTCATAATCCTCATCATAGCGGTCAAAGAGGTCAGTGGCATCTATTCCAATGCTGATGGTTCCCTGGAGACAGGAAAGACAAGGGTGAGCCAAAGCAAACGTGTCTGGTGCGTACAGCCAGGAAACAACAGCTCCCTCGGCATTCCACAATATCCCACAGTCACTCGGGAAGCCAGCAGATAGTGCACCATCCTGCACCCAGCCCAGCTTCTCATGAGCGTGGAGGTCACAGGGGAGGAGACCGGCAGCCATCAAGAATCACAGCTATTAGAGCTGAAATGCTGCAGGGAAGAGAAGCTGACCCGGAGCCAGAGCACCTGAGAATGGACTGACTTATCACCACCTGGGTGACACTCTTGGCCTCCCTTTCCTCGTCTATAAAATGGATGTGCTGGCCAGATGACTCTCGGGTCCCTTCCTGCTCTACATCCAGGAGCCTAAGATCAGTTGCCTTCTTTCACAGATGAGAAACGTGGTGGGTAGCTTGAGAATACATAGCATTTAGAGCTTGAAGGTTTCCTTCACGACAACCTTAAGTCGTATCACACCCATCTCCAAGATGAGGAAGCCAAGGCTCAGAAAGGTGAAGAGACTTTGCCCACACAAGGGTCAACATCAGAGACTGATTCAAAGCCAGGGTTAATTCTAAGGCCTGGGTTCTTTCCATTCCAACATGATGGCTTATTTTAAAAATAAAATTAAAGTCTTATTCTATTTTCAGGTCCACACTCCCACACCTCTCACTGAGAAAGCAATAAGAACAAACCTCATTATAAACAGGTATAGTTATTATAAAAACATATATCTATATAATTTTTTAAAAGGTTAAAACAAATTCCTAAACTAGCTTTGTCCAAAAGAAAATAAAGCCCATGCCTCAATGGCCCTCTGAGCCCTCATGCTTCCTCCCCTGGAGGTGGGTAAAACATTTCATCTCAAGTCCTCTGGAACTGTGGCTGGTTCTTGTGGTTGACCAAAGCTCCCAAGACTTCCAAAATTCACCATTCTATTTTCAAAGATAGGACAATCGCCCAAAGAAATAAAACATACTCATGGATGCAATCTGAATTCTGGCAGGGCTGGGAGAGTGGGAAACTTAGGGAAGCAGATGCCGTGGTTTTAAATAGAGCACTCCTGTGTGCAGATCACAAAACATGAAATAAACAAGCAGGATGGCTTCAGAAAAACCTGGGAAGACTTATATGAACTGATGCAGGGTGAAGTGCACAGAACCAGAAGACGTTTGTGCACAGTAACAGCCATATCGTAGGGATGATCGACTGTGAAAGACTTGGCTACTTTGATCAAGACAGTGATCTAAGACAATTCCAAAAGACCCAGAAGTGAAAAATGCTATCCATCTCCAGAGAGAGTGGAGTCTGAATGCAGATTAAAGCATCCTTTTTAAAACTTTATTTTTATTATTTTGTTTGTGTTTTCTTTTGCAACACAACTAATATGGAAATATGTTTTGCATGACCTTATACATATAATCAACATGAAATTGCTTGCCATCTCAGGGACAGGGGAGAGGTGGAAGACAGGGAGTGAATTTGAAACTCAAAATTAAAAAAAAAGATTAAAAAAATTTTTTACATGAAATTGGGAAACATTTAATAAAGTAAAAATAGTTAAAAACAAAATATTACTAAACTCTCACATATTATAAATTTGTTCAAAATTTTTTAGAGTCAACTTTGTACTGTCATGAATGTTCTTGTGCATGATCTAGCATAATTTCTATCCTCATAGAGCTGGTCTGGCCTGCTGGGAAAGACAAGTAACCCCGCTGGCTCTTCTTCACTGGCCTATTGTTGCTCCCTGGACACACATTTGCTATTCCCTGGACACACATGCCCCTGTGTCTTTGTCATCCATGTCTGGGATGCACTACTCCTACGCTCCCACCTCTCAGAATCCGCAGCTATCATCAAGGCTCAACTCCAATACCACCTTCTAACTGAGGCCTTTTCTGATCTTCCCAGTTTATTGACTCTTCAAATTACTTTGCATTTATTTTACATGTCTCTATATATCTACACATACATTTAGTATTTATATATTTTGTATTTCCTTATCAACTTTGGAATTGATTGTGTAACATGGGAGACATTGGCACAAGACTGTCCAACATGGTGTGCCCGTGTCAAACAAGGCGCTATGTTCTATGAACAAAGCAGAACTACAGTAGTTCAAAAGCAATGTGAGATGCGCAAATTTAGGGCCATCTCCACCCCAAACATGCACATGGACTGTGTCTGATCAACCAGTTGGACACACTGTAGCTTGACTCCAATATAGTGATGTCATTTTGGTCCTCTTTGAGACCAAACCAACCAATTTCCTTATCAATGTACATGTTATTGACTGTTTTATGTTTGTCTTTGAGGCAGCTAAGGGGCACCAAAGTGCACAGAGCGTGGGGTCAGGAAGATCTGTGTTCAAATGTGGCCTCAGGCATTTACTAGCTATGTGACCCTAAGCAAGTCTTCTTCTGTCTACCTCAGTTTCCTCAACTGTAAAATGGGGATCATAATAGCACCTAGCTGCCAGGGTTGCTGTGAGGATCAAATGAGAAATATCTGTAAAGCACTTCTCCAGAACCTGGAACACAGTAGGTATTATATAAATGTTTGTTCCCTTCCCCCTATCCTTGGGATCCAGCACAGTGCCCGGCACACAGTGGGTACACAAGAAAGGCCTGCTGAATGAACTGTCTACTTCTTTTTTCTCCTCAGTTCGGGACTTTAAACATGATCGTGAAGTGAAGTTTTCATGTAATTTCAGCCCAGATGGTTTGATTTTACTTTATGGGCAAATGATTTAGGAGACAAAAACAAGCCGAAGGACTCTGCATTAAATTGGGCTTTCTTTCCTCTTCCACGGCCAGAGACATCAGCCTCTAAGCTGTGTTCAGGACACAGGTTTACACTGACCTTAAACTGACCATCGCCCAAGTCACCAGAAGGCCCATTAGCTTTCAAGACTTTAAAACCACTTCTCAAGTCTCACTCCTCAAACCCAGGCCAAAGTAACTGTGAAAACGCCAACAGTGGCGCCTGTGCTTCAGAGGCTCTGCAGTGCTCTGACGCTGCTCCAAGTCTGTGGAAAATAATCGAAACAGAAACACTGGTGGAAGCCAAGAAGACTTTTATGACTTAAGGGCCAAGTATGCTGAAATTCAAATACATCTACTTAAGAAAATGACAAATCCAGTGACGGAGTGTACAAGGAGATTTCTTTTCATGATCTAGGGAGCGTCTGATGTCTGTTGGCTACTCCGCATCCAGCCCAAGGCAATCATCTTTTGAAACTGAACAGATCACAGTAACAGAACAAGATGAATCTGGCAGCAAGCATCATGCTGGGCCCGTAGTCAGGAGCATCTGATTTCAAATACTACCTCGCATTTACTAGTTATGTGACCCTGGGCGAGTCACTTCACCTCTAGCTGTCTCTGTTTCCTCAACTGTAAAATGGGCATTTTTACAGAATCTCTTTTTCAGGGCTGCTGGGAGGATAAAATGAGATGATAATGATAAAGTGCTTAGCACAGTGTCTGCCATGCAGCAAGTACTTAATAAATGCTCATTCCCTTCTCTTCCCCCTCCCAAAGAGGGTTTTAGTTATTGCTGGAATTCACTTTCTACCTCCAAGATAACAGGTGGCCAAAAGTTTGGTAAGAAGCGTCAGATGTGAGTTCTGATGAGATCAGGAGCGTGACACCAAGGACCTTGGTAAACAAAAACTAGACTCCAACCTGGTTTGTGCCTTCTGGATCACACCTGCTTCCATCTGACTGATATTCAGGCTCAAATTCCTGCTGTCATGAAAGCCTTACACTAGCCTTTTCTGAAACCTCTCAGAAATCACTTTTCAAGAAGACAAACACTTTTCTTTTTCCAACTACTATGGCACACTGGCACATTTGGCAAGCCCAAAGCAGGAAGGATACAAAACATTTGGTTAACTCCTCCTGACACTATCCCACCTGGAACCATCCTTGCTGACAGCCTTAGTTTTGGCTGCTGGCACGCAATCATGGTCAAAATGAAAACAGGCACTCCTTTTTTCATACCCATATAATTAACTCATTCCATTCCAGTAAAACTGTGATGCTTCCCTGGGGCTACAGGGGTCGGGGTGGGAGGCAGCAAGCCCGGGGCCTCAAAGGCTTAGGACAGTGGCGCTCCAGCTCTGGGCAGCCCTAACAAGTTACCAACCCCAAAATGAACTCTCTCTGCTGTCTGAGGGCTGACCTAGCTGGGTCTGGATAGACTAGTTTACCATGCTGGCTTTACAGTGATGTCAACAACAGTTCCTGAGTTACAGGGGGATGGCAGCACGCTTCATCAGAAGGACCGGGCATCCAAAAAGATCCTCTAAGTCCTGAGGTCAGCAGTAGTGGGATGAAGCTACTAAAAGGACAAATAATTTTACTCTTTTTTCTTTGTGAAGCAATTGGGGTTAAGTGACTTGCCAGAGTCACACAGCTAGTAAGTGTTATGTGTCGGAGGCTGGATTTGAACTCTGGTCCCTCTGACTCCAGAGCTGGTGCTCTATCTACTGCACCCCTAGCTGCCTCTCAGGACAAGCAATTAAAAAATTGATGCCTTTGGCTTTCCATCTAATTAATTTCCAAATATGTACCTCACCCATGCCCTCTTGTAGGGAAAAACAACAAAAACCAACCAACTAAACAAAAAAAAAAAACAAGAAACAAAAACCCTAAAGGCCACTTATCAAAACTGACCCACACTTTGACCACATCTGGCAGTATCCTTGCAGCACCAGCCACACCCCCTCTGCAAAGAAAGAAGAGTGGTTCAAAAAGCATTCTCTCGCCTCCTCTTGGGCCAGGCTCGGTTATTCTAATTGCACAGGGTTGCTTCTGTTTACCTGACTCTGCTTACTCTGCTCTGAAATGGTTCACTGAAGTCTTCTGGTGCTTCTCTGAATTCTTTTCGTTGTTGCTATTTGTTTTTTTGGTGAGGCAATCAGGGTTAAGTGACTTGCCCAGGGTCACACAGCTAGTAAGTGTCAAGTGTCAGAGGCTGGATTTG